GGGTGACAATAGCAATTGTACAAACCACTATAATTAGTAGAAAAGAGGAAACAGTAAAATAATAAATAGAATATAAAAAATAACTAATAAAGTAAGATGAAAGGAAAACATGAAGTCTTTTAGCTGTTATAATGTGACCAGGATGAATAAATTTAATAAAAGAAACTGATTGGGTTAAATCCAGTTATATTATTGTTGTTTACAAGAATGAGATATAAAATAACAATTTGTAAGTAAAAGGTTGTTTAAAGGCACAAGAGATGCAAACAAAAAGAAAACCTGAGTATAAGTTTAATAACACATTTTAGTAATGGACCCCGTCTATAAGAGTATAACAACTAAATGTTGTGATATAACTAAACATACTCCCCTAAATATTTGCAGAAAGTTTTCAGTTAGAGTACAACTGTGGGAGATTTTTTTTTTTTTTTAATCCTCACCTGAGGATATTTTTCCATTTATCTTTAGATAGAGTAGGGTAGAGCGGGGCGTGGGGCATGGACATGAGAGACACACACAGTTGCCTCTCACATGACTGGGGATGAACCACAACCGAGGTATGTGCCCTTGACCAGAATCGAACCAACAACTTACTGATCCGTGGGCCAAGGCTCTAACCACTGAGCAAAATCGGCCAGGGCCAACTGTGGGAGATTTTATCTTATTTATTTATTTATGTCAAAACCTAGGAATCAGCTTTGATTCTTCCTTTTATTTCACAGCTCACCCCTAATGTATGAGCGAGTCTGTCAGTTCTTCCTTCAAATCTAACCATTTCTCATCACCTCCATTGCTCCCCTACTTAGTAGTGTAAGCCACCCTCTCCTCTAATTTGAAATATTTCCATCACTTTCTAGTTTATCATTCTGCTTTTCCTCTTGCCTCTACAACCTCTACACATGGCCAAATTCATCTTTTTTTTTTTAACTCATCTTCATTGTTGAATGTATTACAGATGTCCGCCCTTTTTATCCCCATTGACCCCCTCCTCCCTAATCTCACCCCCTCCTGCCTTCCCCACACTGTTGTCGGTGTCCATTAGTTATGCATATATGCATAGAAATTCTTTGGTTTATCTCATCCCCCCCCCCTTCCCTTTGAGGTTCATCAGTCAAAAAACCAATTTGTACTTCTTAATTCCTTCATCTTTTTCACCCATCCCTCCAGCCCCCACCCATCTGGCAAGCAACAAAAAGTTCCCTGTATCTATAAGTCTGTTTCTGTTCTGCTTGCTCATTTTGTTTGTAGATTCAGTTGTCGATAGATAATGTATTTACTGCCATTTTATTGCTCATATTTTTGTTGTTCTCCTTTAACATTTCATATAATACTGGTTTGGTGGTGATGAACTCCTTTAGCTTTTTCTTGTCTGGGAAACTCTTGATATGGTCATCGATTCTAAATGACAGCTTTGCAGAATAGAGTAATCTTGGTTGTAGGTTGTTGCTTTTCATCACCTTGAATAGCTCTTGCCACTCCTTTCTGGCCTGCAAAGTTTCTTTCGAGAAATCAGCTGACAGTCTAATGGGAGCTTCTTTGTAGGTAACTAACTGTTTTTCTTTTGCTGCTTTTAAGATTCTCTTTTTGGGTTCATTTTGTTTGGGACTCTGTGCGTCCTGGACTTGTATGTCTGTTTCCTTCACGAACTTAGGGGAGTTTTCTGTCATTATTTTTCCAAATCGGTTTCAATTTCTTGCTCTCTTCTCTTTCTGGCACCCCTATGATGTGAATGTTGGCACGCTTGAAATTGTCGCAGAGGCTCCTTACACTATCCTCATTTTTTAAAATTCTTTTTTCTTTTCACTGTTCTGATGGGGTGCTCTGATGAAGCTGTCCACTGGGTGTGCTGGCTCTGGGGCAAGGTCAGCCTCCACCTGTGTTCTATCAGGGGCCACCAGGCATAGGCTACAAAGTGATCTGCAGATGGCTGTTGCTTGTGCTGGCTTGGAGGTGCCCAGGAAAAGCCAAGTTGTGAACCAAGCAATCAGGCTGGTTGCTTCTAGTGCCAGGCCTGGGGCTACCTAATGAAAGGTATGGGTCTTGCTGCGACCAGATGATGCTTGTTTGAGAGATTTTTGGAAACTGAAGCAGGATCCAAGACAGGCCAATCCTGTGGTAAAGCCTTCGGAAATAGCTTGGGTGGGCCCGAATGTTGGGTGGGGCAGGGCCTCAGGGAATCACCAAGGTGAGGCAACCAGTGTGAGCCAGGTTGCTGGAGCCTATCTGCTGCCCTGGGGAAGGGCTCACCAAAGGAACAAAGGCCTCCCTCAGCACATCTGTCTAAGAGAAAGCTGCCTCTCCAGCCCTAGTCCCTAGGCCAAACAGCTCAGTTCTTCCCTGTATGTCTCTGGTGCCTTTGAAGCTGCCTCTCTCTCCTCAGAGCTTAGAGGGATCAAGTCTGAGTAAGTCTGTGCGCGGGCCCTTTAAGAGGAGCTGGTTGGGGCTCCAGCAGCCTCACCCTCCCTCAGCCTCAGTTCCTGCTGGTTTTTCCAGCTAGAAGTTATGGGGACTTCACTTTCTGGCACTGGAACCCTAAGTTGGGTGCCTGGTGTGGGATGGGGTACCCCTGACTTCTCAGGGAGGACCTTCCCAGCTGAGGTATCCCTTCTGATTTTTTTTTTTAATCGTCACCCGAGGATATTTTTTGCACTTCAGATAGAGCTGGAGGGAGAGAGGGAGTAACATCGATGCGAGAGAGACACATCAAATGGCTGCCACCCACACAACCCCAAACTGGGCTGGGGACAAACTGCAATCGAGGTATGTGCCCTTCACGGAAACCAAACCCGGGCCTCTCTGGTCCGCGGGCCGACACTCTAACCACTGAGCCAAACCGGCCAAATCTCTCCTGATTTCTATCCACCACACATGGGTGTGAGACCAGCCCGTCCGTGCCTCCACACCTCCTACCTGTCTCGTTGTGGCTGCTTTAATTTTGTAGCTGTAGGACTTCCATTCAGGTCGATTTCAGGCAGTTCTGAATGATGGTTGTGCTGTAGTTTAGTTGTAATTTTGATGTGGTTATGGGAGGAGGTGATACCATGGTTACCTACACCGCCATCTTGACTGGAAGTCTGTGAGAGATTTTAATACGTGTTTTTGAATACTAATTTATAAGTTTAACATGAGTTTGGAATAAAGGATTTTAATTGTAAAGTGAATACATTGATTTATTTTAAAGAGATTTATATCTTTTGAGATCAGTTAGAGCAATGGATAAGTTGATAAAAATGGTTTAGCATTAAACCCAAACAACAACAACAAAAAAGCACCAGCTCTCAGATCCTATTTTCTAATACCACTATATAATAAAAGGAACATGGAGAAATGGTTGATTCTAGAGATGGATTAAGGAAAACACAGAATGAGTCTAGCATCTTATAGTGTCAGAAATTAAGCAAGTACTCAAAAAAAAACAAAAACAAATGGGTACTTGCTTCAACAGCATATACATATACACTAAAAGTGGAGCAATACAGAGATTTTCATGGCCCCCCTACAAGGATGGCATGCAGATAGTAAAGCATGATATATTTTTGTAAATTTTGTTATTTATATTTTACCAGGAAAAAAACACAACAAAGGAATGAGGTTACATTAAAAGGACATAGGAGCCAACTGAAAAAGCTCCCAAGGGCCAAAACGGAAACAATTGGATTATAATCTAAAGTAGAAAAAAATATCCATAGTGGTATTAGTGATTGAATAAATTTATTTACTGAACTACCCAAGAATTTTACAAGCTGCAATAAAATGAGTTGGGGGAATGGACAGCTTTTTATTATAGAATTCCAAAAAATATGCGTAAATAGCCCCTTCTTTAGGAAGTGGAGCTTAACTATACTCATTCCTTTGGTGGGCTGGACTGACTGACCTTGCTTCCAAGTAGAGTGTAGAAAGGGAAAATACTAACTTCACAGTGGAGAAACCTGGAAACAGTCTATTTAAGCCAAATGATCAAGGTTAATATCACCAGCGATAAATCATATTGATATCATGTACTTCTTGATACGTGTTGAGAAGGGCATTTCATCTCTGTGATACTCCAACCCCAAGTTCACAACCTCAGTCTAGTAATGAGAAAATCAGACCCAGGTTGATGCTCATTCTACAAAATAACTGATCACTTCTTTTCCAGTGTCAGAATGATGAAAAACAATATAAGACTGGGAAACAAAGAGGAGACTAAGGAGACATGGTGACTAAATGCAGTGAATCTTGGATTGGGTTCTGGAATTAAAAAGATATTAGTGGACTAGTTGGTGAAACTGAATAAAATCTGGAGTTTAGTTAGTAGTGTACAAATGTTGGTTTCTTTTTTCACATGTATGACGGTAATGAAGGCGTTGACATTAGGAGAAACTCAGAGATATAAGAGAACTGTGAATTGTCTTTTCTGCAAATCTAAAATTATTCTAAGATTAAGTTTATTTTTAAAACTTTTAGGGATGAGACCTGTCTAACCTTTAATGAACAGAGCATTCTAATATTAACTTAAATATTCTGTAAAGAAGAAGGAAAGAGCTCTCCCAATTCATTTTATGCCGCTTGTACATTGTTGGCTGTTGGTGAAGTTTTCTCTAAAATTTTCACATAAAACACAAACCTCCAAAACCTCCCACCTTGTATATAGCATGATAGGGAAGCTTCTCTGCTTCTGCTTGGAAAGAAAGACACACTGAGAAATTAAACCGTAGGCTTGAGTTTCACGTAAGTTTGGAGTTAGAAACTTTAGTATTTGTAGAGCAATGGAACACTTAAACCAAGAAATTAACATAAAATTTGATTTTTTCACTTAGCAAAAATCTTTTTAAAACTATATTAAATTTTCAAGAGCACAGGTAGATAGTTTATGGCTGGAAAGTTCTTTTCATTTTTTTTCAATCTAATGCTTATATCTTGAAATTCTTATATTTTTATATTAAATGTAAAGTATGCATTTATTTCTGTAGTTTATTTATTATAATAATTTAAAACAACTTCATTTATCCTGTTCATAGGAAACACATACCAAATATTGGATATAGAGTAGCCATAATGTATGAAGTGTCGGCAGATACACTTAATAGTTTATTGACATTAAATTACAATACATGGTAAGGTCATGGATATTACATGATATGTTCAGTATGTTCCTCATTAGCTATGCAGGGTTCAGTGCACTTCATCAAATTGCAAAGAACACTGTATTAATGCAGCATTTTCATCAATCCATGAACATTTATGATTTGTTGTCTCAGATCATTTATGTCGTTCATACTGAATAAAGCTGTGCTTACACTATTCCCCAGAATATCTATTTTCAGATTTTTTTGGCCACACTAACCTTGTTCATCATAATCCTTAGTATTTAAGAATATCTGTTTATGTTGTCCAGTATTTTAAAAAATATATACTATACAGTTTTTGGAGTTTATTTTAAGTATCATCATGCTTTGCTTCAGAATCATTGCTTCTGTTGCATTTTAAAGTTGGTGTCTTTATTTTTCCAAAGTATAGAGGTATAAAAATTAGAGATTAAAATATGTGATTTTTAAAAAGGCATAATATATCTTCTTTAGTGTGATAGTATATGGAATATAAAAATAGTACATTTTATTTCAAGCTAAATATAGTGTAGTTAAGAGCTGAAAAAACCAACCTTCTTTACATTGCTAGTACTACTACTGTCTCTTAAGGCATATTCTCATCTTCACAACTCATATCCTCACAAATATTAAAACTTTGGCTGTGGGTGGAAATTGCCCAGTTGTATCAAATGCTGCTCAGTAATGATGAAAACACCATTACTCATCAATATTAATGCAATTTAGCAGGATTCAGATTCTGGTGTTGCTATTTAATAGTTGTGTGACCGTGAGCAAGTTAGTTAACCTCATTGTGCCTCAGTTTCCTTATTTATAAAGTGCTAATACTAATATATACTAATAATTAATTGTTTAATTAATTTGGTATTGATCACTAGTGTGAATAGATTTACAAATAATAGAATAACCTCTTGTTTTTAATTCCCTGGTTAAATGGGAATATTTTTAGAAGCTTTTTTTTAGGGTGGGAAAGTAGCTGTTATAGCTCTCTAGTCTATTGCATTTTGCAAATCTCCTTCAATACTTTTATCCCACAATAGCTGTATGTTTTTTGCCTTTCCCCCAAGTCAATGCATATTTGGACTTATATGGTATTTTAGGACCCTTATTTACTGAGGATTATATTCAGAATCCTTAAAATCAATTGTATATGAAGTTTGATAATGTAATTTAATATATTTTAAAAAGTATAATTCCCAGGATGTAGTCATATTACAAGACTGAAATACTTGTTTCATGATTGCTGGTTTTGTACATACCACTTTTTTTTTTTTTTTACTGATTTTGGAATTCTCAAGGCCAATATCTTATCCTTGTATTCTTATATTAATTAATTTGTTTTTAAACAACTAGAACCATTTACAACAAAATTAGGCAAATTGAGTATTATTAAACTGAAAAAGATATTATGAGTTATTTTGAGGGAAATTCCAAAAGAAAAATTCTAAAGTTTTATGCATTTGAGGAAGTACTTTGAAAGGACAATTATTTGGATGCCTGCTATAGGCTTTGATTGATAGTCATTGTAAAAAAATAGTTACTTTAGGGATCTTATAATGTATTATTAAGCTTTAGTATATTTGTGTAATATAGTTTTGTTTTAGTATTGCTTTTATATGGCAAAGAAGCTATGCTTTGCTTTTAATATATTGTAAGTATTTCCTCAATTTTTCCATTTTAAAAAACATTTTTTCTGTTAGAATAAAACCATATATGTGTGTGTGTGTGTGTGTGTGTGTATATATATATTTTTTTTTTTTTTTTTGTAGGAAAGAATATCCATCTCATGTCCAAAAATTTGAAAGTAATTCAGTAAAGTCAAGTCGGCCCCATGGTGTTGGTAAGTGTGCAGTTTTATCTAAAGGGTTTTGAGTGCTGTATAGAAGCTAGAAATAAAGAGGTGACATTGGCTTTCGAATATTTCCAGGCATAATAGAAATATGTAGAAAATCATTTTTTATAACTAGAGAATTTATTTAATTTTATTTATTTTTTAATTTTTAATTTTTTTTATCTTCACCCGAGGACACTTTTTGACACTTTGTTCAGATAGAGTGGGAGGGAGAGAGAGAGAGAGAGAAATATTGACACGAAAGAGACACATCGAGTGGTCGCCACCCACACTACCCAACCAGGGCCGGGGACAAACTGCAACCGAGGCACGTGCCCTCAATGGGAACTGAACCTGGGTCTCTCCAGACCGCAGGCCGACGCTCCAACCGCTGAGCCAAACTGGCCGGGGCAAGAGAATTTATTTAATTTTAAATGAAATCATTACAGAGTGGTTACACATTCAGGTGATTACAATTTGAAATCTTTATTAATATGTTTTGTTAAATTCAAGATTCAAATATTAACTGGGTTAATGCTTCAAAATTGTGTTTTATTAAACTATGTTATAATATGTAATTGTCTTGAAACAATTATTGAAACATTATTTTAACCAAGGCAACTTGATAATACAAATTAGTATTTTTTCATAGCAAGGATTGTGAGGAATTTATAAAATTTAATTTTAATACTTTTGTTTTGGTCTCCTTTCATTAGATCGTATAATGAAGAAAACAGAAGAGTCTGAATCACATTTAGAGTCTGAAATTAAAAGGAAAGTATCACAGAAACGTCACAGTACATATCAGTCTACTCCTCCTCTGTCTCCTGCCTCAAAAAAATGTTTAACTGATTTAGAGGTAAGTAGAGAAATTATTCTTTGTTGTTAATCACATAGTATTTTTATTAAAATTATTTATAGTGCTTATTGAATTGTAGGTGACTTTTTCTCATACAACTGGAAGAGACACAGAAAAGTTATTTAGGCAGATTTTTCTGCCTTCACTTGATATTTTCTTACCTATTTAAAATCTGGAATGTTCTTTTTTGAAAAGTATATATCAGTGCTTCCCTGCAACATACTCCAAATAACTGTTCTCAACCAGAAAAATTTTTAAATTGATTTTAGAGAGACGGAGAGAGAGAGAGGAAGGGAGAGAGAAATACTGATTTTTGCGGCTCTTATACATTCATTGATTGCTTCTTGGATGTGTCCTGACCAGAGATTGAACCCTCAACCTTGGTATATTGGGACAGTACTCTATAGCAGCGCCTGAGCTACCCAGCCAGGGCCTCAACCAATAATTTTTTGAAATAAGTTTTAATTTACAGTAAACTTGACAAGGTAACAGAAAGGCTGTTCACATATCCTTATATCAGATTCCTCAGTTTTACACATTTGCTTTATTGTGCTCCCTTCCTTTGATTTCTTTCTACCTTCCTCCTCTCTATATACATGTCAGTGTATTGTTCTGTACCATTTGAGTATTAAAAAACAGGTATAATGCTTATTTATCACATCTTTTTTTTAATTATTTTATTTTATTTTTTTTTATCCTCACCCGAGGATATTTTTCCATTTTTTGTACAGATAGAGTGGGAGGGAAAGAGAGGAAGGGAGAGAGAGAGAGAGAAACATCGACGTGAAGGGACACATCGAGTGGCTGCCACCCGCACGACCAACCAGGGCCGGGGACAAACTGCAACCGAAGTACGCGCCCTTAGCGGGAACCGAACCCGGGTCTCTCCGGACCGCAGGCCGACGCTCTAACCACTGAGCCAAACTGGCCAGGGCTATCACATCTTTTAGTATATGATTTAAAAAAAATACAGAATCAAAAAAGGATATTCTCCTATATAACCAGATTATAACTATCAAAATTTTAAGATGAACATAGATCTTAAATTATCGTATAATCACAAACTCCATTCAAATTTTTTTTTAAATATTCTTTTTATTTATTTATTTTTTTATCCTCACCCGAGGACATTTCCCATCTTTTTGTTCAGATAGAGTGGGAGGGAGAGAGAGGAAGAGAGAGAGAGAAACATCGACGTGAAAGGGACACATCGAGTGGCTGCCACCCGCTTGACCAACCAGGGCCGGGGACAAACTGCAACCGAGGTACGTGCCCTTAGCGGGAACTGAACCCGGGTCTCTCTGGACTGCAGGCTGACGCTCTAACCGCTGAGCCAAACCGGCCAGGGTTCCATTCAGATTTTTATCTGATGTTCTTTATTAGTACAGGATCCTATCAGGATTAGCTGTTACATTTAATTGTTGTGATCTTTGGTCTTCTTTAGTCTTATCTTGTCTTTCATAACCTTGGTATTTGGGAGGAGTCAAGTCCACTTACTTTGTACCTCGACTTGGGTTTGGCTGATGTTTCTTCATGATTTATGCCTTTTTCAAGAATCCTCAGAAATGATGCTGTAATCTTACTGTATTATTATCAGGAGGCATACAATGTAGATTTTCACATTACTGATACTAACTTTTACCTTGTTAAATTATACTTTTCTAGATGTGTCCACTATAAAGTTAATTAATAATATTTCAATATTTATTAATAAGACTTGTATAAGGTAGAGCTTTTACTTATGTATTCTTTTATTTATATCAACACAGACACATAAATTCTTATTTTACCCATAAGGAATTTACTTACAAATTCTTATTATATTATGTAGCTATCATTTATTTTGATGCTCAGATTACCCCAGATTTGGCCCATGGCAATTTCTTCAGTCTGGCTCTTGGGTTTTTTTGTGTGTGTGACATGTTTCCATCATTCTTTGAGAACTTTACTTTTTGGTATAACCAGATGGTCTAGACTTTTTTTTGTGTTTCTTCTGTCTTAGTTCCAGAAGTGTATATTTCTCTAAGGAGCCATTGTTCCTATAAGTGGAAGGAATGTATTTGAGAATTAGTTATGCTCCTTGCTACTACTGAGTGTCATACTTATAGTCCCTGTCTTGTACAGAGCTAGGAAATATATGTGTGTGTATGTGTTAATATTTAATACATATTAAAATTTATGAGTTCACACTGATAATTCTAATTCAACACTACAATGTTTATCTTCGCCTTTCCCACTTTGCATGTTTAAAACTCCCTTCTCAGACAGTAAGAAACCTGATTCCCATCATCTTCACTGTATTTACTTATTTGCTCAGTTGCCTTTTATGTGACTAGTCTCTTGGCATGCCATCCTAAGCTTGGTGTAGACAATATTGGCATCCCTACATGTCTTGGCTTACTTTCTGACCCCATGTAGAGGAGGAGAAAAGAGGAAAGCTCCTTCCCAGATATATCATCCTTCCTCCACTGAGCATGCCAACTGAAAACCTCAGAATTTTTTTTTTTATATCTAAAATAAATCTAAGTGGTGTTGAATTCTAGTTTTTAGCTTACTAAGTTGATAAAAATTCTTAGTCTCTAGTTTTTATCATGAAAAATTTGATATTGTATTTAGTTAAGCAAATCTGTATCTTAATTGTAATTATTACAAACAGTTCCTTAATGTGTTTTTTAGCTGACAGAAGGTATTTGGTAACAACTCACAATATTTTTCATTCTATATATATATATTTTTTTTATCCTCACCCGAGGACATTTTTCCATCTTTTGTTCAGATAGAGCAGGAGGGAGAGAGAGAAACATCGATGTGAAGGGACACATCGAGTGGCTTCCACCCACACGACCAACCAGGGCCGGGGACAAACTGCAACTGAGGTACATGCCCTTAGCGGGAACCGAACCCGGGTCTCTCTGTACCACAGGCCGACACTCCAACCGCTGAGCCAGACCGGCCAGGGCTCATTCTATATTTTAATATTAGACATTTTAATGGTAGAGATATGCTTTTTAAAATTTCATTAACAGTTTTATAAAATGAAATATCTGGAAGTATCTCTTTCCATTGGTTTTTTTTTTTTCTTTCTTTTCATTGAAATATGTCCTATTTATTATAGACAGTAAGTATTAGAGCCAGTTAGTAACCAGCTTGATCATATCCTCAGATTCTTAAAAGACAGTTAGTTTATTTATTTATTTATTTATTTTTGTTACAGATGTTCCCCCCCCCCACTGATTCCCCCTCCCTCTCCCTCCCTGCCCTGTCCCCAGCTTTGTTGTCCATGTCCATTGTTCATGCATACATGCATATAAGTTCTGTAGTTTATCTCTCCACCCAGAGTTAGCTTATTTATAACTGACTCTCACCATGGCAAATAGGGCTCTATCGCCTACATGAATGAATGTCTCTGAACTTTTTTGGGTACACCACAGTATTTTTTAAGCCTAGCTAGAGGTGGAAATATGTCTTTGCTCATCATGAAAATAGCAGTGTTTAATAGTGAATGGGCTTGAGATTTTTCTTAGAGGATTATGTATTTCATCACAGGATAATATGTAGGTAGGGACTGACTACTCCTTTATTTATGCAGTGGGACATGGCCAACCATTTGCATCGTTATCTCTCTCTCTCTCTCTCTCTCTCTGTGTGTGGCAATAGGCTAAATATGAGAGACCATCTGTGTCATATTTGTGTCTGGCCAGTTGTATGCATAGTTTAGTTGTTACCTATGTATTCTGAATACATAGGACACTATTGAAAGTGCTGTGAGAAATACAATTTTCTTATATCTATAATCCACAAATAGCATAACAGAATTCTCCCATGTACTGTCAGAGAAAGAGATATCCTCTTTTTTTATAACCCACAATGCTGAGTAGTGAGCTGATAAGTTTTACTAAGTTCAGTTTTTCCCTGGTTGAAACTTGGTTTTTATTCCTTTTTATTCCTTTTTGTTATCTAGAACAAATCCTTGAATAGGTAACATGGTATAAGAAAGGGGCTTTATTATTGGTCATGTTAGGCAAGGTAAACAATTTGTCTGTTTTTTTACATTTGAAACAAGAAGATAAGACTAGAGCAGTAGTGGCCTTTAGACTTTTTGTTTTTCTTGTGTACTTTCTATATAATTTTGACTTACAAATTTACATAGAATAAAATGTATAGAACTTAAACATTCAGTTAAAAGAATTTTGATATTTGTATATACACATATAATTATTTTTTAATCCTCACCCGAGGATATTTTTCCATTTATCTTCAGATATAGTGGAAGGGAGGGAGAGAGAGAAAGAAAAAACATCAGTGTTAGACACATTGACTGGTTGCCTACCGGGGTCGGGGACTGAACCACAACTGAGGTACGTGCCCTTGACTGAAATTGAACCCGCAACTCTTTGGTACATCACTGAGCCAAACTGGCCAGGGCTACACATGTAATGTTTTACAGCTACCACTTACCAGTCAGTCTTCCTGCAACCACTTGATGACTCCTATCACTTAAAAGATTTAAAATAATTTAAAATAACTGTGTACTCTTTTATGTATTTTTAAGTTGACTTTGAACATTTTTCATCCCAAGTGTAGATGGTCTCACAGAAAGTAATAGTTGACATAGTGAAAGGAGTAATTTTATTTTTTTGATATATGACTCATCTTTTTTTTTTTTATCCTCACCCGAGGACATCTTTCCATTTTTTGTTCAGATAGAGCAGGAGGGAAGGAGGGAGGGAGGGAGGGAGAGAGAGAAAGAGAAAGAGAAAGAGAAAGAGAAAGAGAAAGAGAAAGAGAAAGAGAAAGAGAAAGAGAAAGAAAGAGAAACATGGATGCGAAAGGGACACATCGAGTGGCCGCCTCCCGCACGACCATTTATTATATGTATGCATAGAAGTTCTTTGGTTTATCTCATCTGGCCCTCCCTCCCGCCTTCCTTTTGAGGTTCATCAGTCTAACAACCAATTTGTACTTCTTTTAATTCCTTCATCTTTTTCACCCATCCCTCCAGCCCCCACCCATCTGGCAAGCAACAAAAAGTTCTCTGTATCTATGAGTCTGTTCTGCCTGCTCATTTTGTTTGTAGATTCAATTGTTGAGATATGTATTAATTCCCATTTTATTGTTCATATTTGTTCTTCTCTTTCAAGAAGACCCTTCAACATTTCATATAAAACTGGTTTGGTGGTGATGAAGAACTCCTTTAGCTTTTTCTTGTCTGGGAAACTCTTGATATGTCCATGATTCTAAATGATAGCTTTGCAGGACAGAGTAATCTTGGTTTTAGGTCATTGCTTTTCATCACCTTGAATATCTCTTGCCACTCCTTTCTGGCCTGCAAAGTTTCTTTCTTTCTTTTTTTTTAATCCTCACCCGAGGACCTTATTGCATTTATCTTCAGATAGAGTGGGAGGGAGAGAGGGTGGGAAGAAAGAAAGAAACATCGATGTGAGACAGACACATCGACTGGTTGCCACCCACACAACCCCAACCGGGGTGGGGACAAACTGCAACCAAGGTACGTGCTCCTAGTGGGAACCGAACTGGAGACTCTTTGATTCTCAGGCTGACACTCTAACCACTGAGCCAAACCGGCCAGTGCCAAAATTTTTTTTGAGAAATCAGCTGACAGTCTTATGGGAGCTCCCCATTTGAAGAAATAATGACAGAAAACTTCCCTAACTTGGTGAAGGAAACAGATATACAAGTCCAGGAAGGACAGAGAGTCCCAAACAAGATGAACCCAAAGAGATCCACACCAAGACACATCATTATCAAAATGCCAAAGGTTAAAGACAAAGAGAATCTTAAAAGCAACAAGAGAAAAGCAGTTTGTTACCTACAAAGGAGCTTCCATAAGACTGTCAGGAGTAACTTCTTAAACAGAATGGTTAGTTCTCTCTCTTCCTATATGGATCTGGTAGCATATAAATACAATACATCTTGATAACTACCATCTCATTCTATCATTTGTTTGTCACAACAAATATTTATTCACTTAATTATCTGTGATATGAGGCTCAAAGTATTAAAAATGTTTTCTTTTGGATTGAGTATTTCAGTTATTAAAAACAAAAACAGACTCATGTAAACAGATCTAAGGATAGTTGCCAAAGTAGAGGGGTGAGGAGGGATGGGTGAAAAGGGTGAAGGAAAATATAGTTAATAATATTGTGAGATAAGTTTGCATCGTGATAGATTATTACTAGAATTGGTGTGGTGATCACATTGTAAGGTATCTGAATGTCAAATCACTATATTGTACTCCTGAAACTAATATAATATTTTATATCACTTACACGTAAATATAAAAAAGAATGCAGTATAAATACATATAACATACAAAAATAATTATTAATAGATTAAAACTATGTGTTACAAAGTGTGATAAGTAATTATTTCGTGTAATGTTTGGAAATGCATCTTTTAATTAGAGACATTGACTTGTTCCTTGTTCTCAATTACTGCATGTGTCCATGAATAAATTTAAGTTACATTACTGAGACAGGATTCAACATTTACTCCTGTGTTTCCTTCTTACAGATGTAAGTGCTGAGGAACCTTGTTCACGTAAATAAGTACATGACTATTGAAAGAATCATGTTATAATATTACTCAATACCTTGAACTTCTTCTATATGCCCCAAATCACACGATACTCTGTTGTCAAAAAACCTTTTTAATGATCACACAATTGTAACCTAGATTAGGCCTTCCTTAAAATATATATATTTTTTAATCCTCACCTGAGGACACTTTTTCATTCTTTGTTCAGATAGAGCAGGAGGGAGAGAGAGAGAGAGAAACATCGACGTGAAAGGGACACATCGAGTGGCTGCCACCCGCACGACCAACCAGGGCCGGGGACAAACTGCAACCGAGGTACATGCCCTTAGCGGGAACCGAACCCGGGTCTTTCCGGACCGCAGGCCGACACCCCAACCGCTGAGCCAAACCGGCCAAGGCTTAAAATATTTTTGAAGTGCTATCTTAGAAATCAATTGTCCTGCAAAGGTTTTGTTAACCGTACTTATAATTAATTTTTTTTTTTTCAACATTTAAAACTATCCTTTGGTTTAGTGGTTTTTATATTCTAGGGCAGTGTACCATTGTAATATTTTATTTTATGTTTTACTTTTTTTCTTGATCCTGACTAGAGAACATTTTTTCCATTGAATTTGAGGGTGGGGGTGGAGAAACATCGATGTGAGAGAGACACATTGATTGGTTGCTTCCGCATATGCCCCAACTAGGGCTGAGGATCAAGCCTGCAACCCAGGCACATGCCCATGACCCGAATCAAACCCACAATCCTCTGGTGCATGGGCTGACACTCTTAACCACTGTGTCACGCCATCCAAGTCCCATTGTAATATTTTAAGTGGAAGACAGATTTAGCATTCTTTTTTTTTTTTTTTAAGGGAAGAACAGTGTGGCAGGAGATGTTTTGACATCAGACGCATAATTATATTAGGTTTTTGAAAAGGTTATATGTAGAAATGGATAATCTAGATATTAATTCTCTTGAGATCATTTATGCCCTATATGCTTTTAAAAATCTTCATGTAGCCCTTGAGTATACATAGTCAATTTGGAGACTGCTGGACTAGAAGTTCTCAAAAATTCTTTTAGCATTTTGCTGATAAATTCTAACTAATATGTCATATTCAGGATTTTTGTGGTAGCCATGGTGATGGTGATGGGAAGTGAGAGAGTTAATTTTGAAATTTTGTATTTGCTTTATGATGTTAAATAAAATGCCAAAGTCTTTTATTTTTTTGGAACTTAAATTTTCTGAACAGTGTGAATATTGTCCAAAATGTGAAAAAGAAAAAGAAAAATTCAGACCAAATGCCAAAGTTGTATTCTTTTTCCTAAGGATTTGCAAAGAAATTACAGACAAGCTATAACTTTGAATGAATCAACTGGACCATTATTGAGAACGTCAAATCAGAATTCTGGAGGACAGAAGTCACAGAACACAACATTAACACTCAAGAAGTTTTATGGCAACAGTGTGGGAAAGGTTCCAATTGATATTATTGTGAATTGTGGTGATAGACAGAATTATTTACAGACTAATGGGAAAGTCGTTTTACCTAGGGCAAAGGGAGCAAAAACCACAAACCTGAAAGAAAGGAAAACAAGCCTTTCAGACCTAAATGATCCAAGTAAGTGTTACTTCTTTTGGTATTACTTATATCAGTCCAACATTTTTCATATATATTTTTAAAGTGAACATGCAGTGTAGTTTTGATTTGTCTTGTGTCAGTCATAAAATTTTTTTGAGTAGATGATTTAAACTGTCCTCCTACTTGGAAAATAATAACTGACCCTGTCCTCATCCTTTACATCATAAATAATAAAAGCACAGAACTTGGCCTCAGTCCTAAGTCAAATCCAGGTATGTCCAGCTTTCTAACTTTGGCCAGGTTAATTTAATCTCCCTGATCTATAAATGGATACATTTCTGCCTTGGCAGTGTTTTTGAAGGAGTAAATAACATATAAAGTGCCTAGTATAGCCCAACGAAATATTTGACAGAAAGTATTTAGTGAAAATTAGTTTCCTTACCACTTTGTTTCTCCCCTAAATCTTTTTTACTATCTTTAGACACATGTGCTATGTGTGTGTATATGGAATGCAGTCCTATTATAATAATAGCAAAAGAATGGAAAAAAATCAGGGACTTACTGAATAAACTAGAGCATACGTAGTTGTAAAAGGGGAGAAAGATGTGATTTGGTATTATATAAGTGATTTCCAAGACTTGTTAACTAAATTAATCAAGCAAGCTGAATATCAATGTATAGTATGCTACCCTTTAGGTAGGGTGAGAGAATGACTCTAGGTGTTTTTGTTTTTGTTTTTAATGGAAAGATATACCAGAAACTGATTTTAAAAGTAGTTGGTTGGAAGGGGAGGAAGCAGTGTGGGAATCGGGGATAGATGCTAGATGTCTACGTATATACTTGTTTTATAGATCTGACTTGGGAACCATGTAAACATTTTACATGATTATAAAAGAAAATTAAATTGCTTTTTAAAAAACAAAATAAAAACCAATGTGAAATGAATGTCATTATATATCTAGTTGGTGGCTTGAACACACGGGGAATTATTTCAAATGAATTTAAATTAAAATAATATTGTGGTTGTGCATCCTAATATGAAATATCTTAAGGTCAAACAACTACAAAGAAATTCTAAGTGTAGTGAGTAATAATGTTATTAATATTATTGGTGTTAGGGTTTTAAAACACATTGACAAAGTACGTAAGCAATTATATTGTTGTTTCCAGAAACCAGGATTTTTCAGTGTTAGAGAAAAAGGAATACAAAAGTAAAAAAGTCAATATTTTGTAACTTTAAATTTGAATCAGAGAATATATGAACTTGTATATTTTCTCTTAAATAAAAAATAAGTATTTCCTAGCTTTTCCCACAGAAAATGCCTACAAACAGTAAGCAACCCTCATATAGAAACAAACAACTCCTAGTTCCCATGTTTGTGTTTTTGAATATAATTTCCCACTAAAAATAACCAGAGCTTCTCAGATTGCTTACTCAAGGTCTGGAGCACAAATGTATTAATAAACTTAGATCATACGCTCATATCAAGAAGCATGGAGGCTATCTTAAACTACTAGGGACATGTCAAAGGACACAGGAGCTAAAATGAAAGAGCTCCCATTGATCAATGATGGGAATATTTGGGTCACAAACAAAATCATAACTATTTTTTGAAATATGTCAAATATATTAAAATTGATCAATTTATAATGATATCCTCCAACATCCCCTAAGAAAAACTCCATTGATTTCTTTTGGAGATTGCTTAAGTTTCCTAATTATTACTCAGAAAACTGACAAATAAAGGGAATAAAATTAAGCTCTTCTTTTTAATTTCAGAAATGTCAAGTTCTAAAAACCTTAGCCTGTACCACAACATTGGCTTATTTCTCAGAATACATTTAAAAAAGGATACTGTCTGATGGCTGTGCAGCCTATTCTCTACTATGATATTATGATGTTGATATTTGATGAATGTTTTATGATACATTTTAGTGTTATACCAATGTAAAATTAAGTATTAATATAATTTGCATCTTTTCTAATGGTAATATTTTTATTAATGGTAAGATATGAAGAAAACTCTCACTTATCAGGCAGTTACTGGGTATTATTACAGAACCATACTTTAAATAGGAAACTTAACATTCTGAGGAAGTTTCCAAGATGAGGGGGACTGAAGTTAATAAGGTTAAGTAGATACGTAAAAAAATACAAAATAAATACTATGTCTAGGTCAACCATGCAGGCTGATAATATAAGGAAATAAATTCATGTGATTCTTAGGTGTATTAAACAGTGTACTTTTCAGAGCTTAACCATCTCAACCATGAATTAAAACCATAAAACATAAATTTGTTCTCTTGTGCTAAAAAATAAATAAATAAAGACTAAGTACTTCCCATGTAAGTATATGAAAAAAATATGTTCTATTTTAAAAGAACATTTCATATTAATAATAAAAGATACTATTTATTGCATGCTTATATTCCCTGCTTTGTGGTAAAGGTTTATACACTAATCTATTTAATTTAGTTTTCACAATCATGTGAGGTAGGTACTAATACATCCCATTTTATAAATGAGGCAACCTTAACTTGAGATTGTGTAAATAATATGGACTATTTGAGTGTAGATTTTAAAAAACATTTTTCTGGTTCCAAAGTCTAGTTTTCTTTATATATTTAATCATTCTTAAATTTGTATTTCTACTAAAATAGTTGTTTCTTATGTAGTTTTTATTTTGCTGAGGGTAGTCAAATAATAAAATGTGCAAAGTCTCAAGTAGTGATAAATTCTATGTAGAAAAGCGAAGCAGGTCCAGGGAATAGAGGTATCAGAAAGGGTGCTATTTAAGATAGGAGGTGGAATAGGCACCTTTGATAAAGTAACGTTTGAACAGCCAGAATGAAGGAGGAAGAAGGGGGAATGCTGATATCTAGGGAACATGTGTGGAGTATAAGTACAAAGATGCTGAATTAGTGTACTTGGGTTGCCATAACAATACCACAGACTGAGTGGCTCAAATAACATAAATGTATTTTCTCACAGTTCTGGAGGCCGGAAGTGCAAAATCTAGGGGTCTTCAGGGTTGGTGTGTCTGGGTAGGCCTCTTCCTGGCATGTAGATGGCTGCCTTTCTCCTGTGTCCTCACGTGAACTTTCTTCAGTGGGTGTGCAGAGAGAGCCCTCTGGCATCTTTTTTTATAAGGTCACCAGTCCTGTCAGATTAAGGCTTCACCTTTTTGACCTCATTTAACCTGTTATTACCTCCTTATAGGCCCTATTCCCAAATATAGTCACAACAGGGATTAGGGCTTCAATATAGCATTTTGAGGGGGCACAGTTCAGTTTGTAGTAGACCCTGACAAAGAATCTTAAATGTTCATTAGAATATATTTTATATAGAATCAAAGCAGCTATAAACAGCATTTTAACTATATCATACCATTGCACACTCCCCATTTGCTTGGGAAATATGGTGATATTGAGCACAACTCTCATTTATTTCAAGTTACTAAAAGAAGAACTATGTAGTACAGGTCTACCTATTGCAGCATTGTGGCTTTAAAATACGTTTTCGATATAGTAGATATGGAAGTTTCTGTGTCCCTGAAGCACCATACAAATAATTGTAGACAGAACACTAGGCACTGTGCTAAGCCTTTTGCATATGTTCTTGCGATGGTCCTTTTAAATAGGTACCATTATTATTCTTAGTTTTACATAGAGGAAAAGCTGAGGCAAATAGCAAGTACGTGGCAAAACCCTAACACAAATATGTGTAAGTCTGCTTGGACCATCTAATCTGGCCTGTTAGGTATTCTTTCAATGAAGTACTAGTTCTGGAAAAGATCCGTCTTTAGCATTTGCTCCTGAGACTGGACAGCAGAATAAAAAAGCTAGTAAGATGTTGGGATTGATTCCTCTTGAAGACATATATACTACTCAGATGTTATTAACTAAGCCTTTATGTGTGGGATACTAAAAAAGAAAATTGCTCCTAGAAGTTCATGCATTTTTCAACAGATGATTTTTGTATGCTTTTTCTGTGCCAGGCACTCTTTTTTTTTTTTTTTTTTTTTATCCTCACCTGAGGACATCTTTTTTTTTTTTTTTTTGTATTTATCTTCAGAGAGAGGGAGGTGGGGGGGAGAGAGAGAGAGAGAGAGAAACATCGATGTGAGAGAGACACATTGAATGGTTGTCATCATCACGACCCCAACCGGGGCCGGGGACAAACTGCAACTGAGGTACATGCCCTTAGCGAGAACCTAACCCGGGACTCTTTCTAGAGTGTGCTGACGCTCTAACCGCTGAGCCAAACCGGCCAGGGCATCCAGGCAATCTTTTAGACACTGGGAAGGTAGCAGTGGGCAAGGCATAGTTTCTAGGTAGTGAGAAGAGACAAATGAACAAGTAAAACAAAATGTACAACAGAAACAATTTAAATCACTTGATGTGAAAAGTAAGTGCCCACGTGCTTACTTTAGATTGGATAGTCAAGCAAAAAGTAATTTTTAAGCTAATAGTTGATAACAAAAGTGCAGTGTGTTAGGGGAATTGTAATTCAGACAGGAACAAGCTTGTGGTATTTGAGGAACAGAGTAAATGGCTAATTTGGAGCGTAAAGGAGGAAAAATGAAGTAATACAAGAAAGTTGGAGAAGTAGGCAAGGGCCAGATTATGTACATTTATAAACCAGAGTAAAGAGTTAGGTTTTGACTCAAGTACAGTGTGGTTGGCTCTGGGGAATTATGATATAGAGATGGGTTTGATAAGATTTAATAACAAGTAAAAGGTATAAGAGTAAATTACCTTCATAATGTCTTTTCTTGCCCACACTCATTCATTCAGCAAGATTAATTGAACATTAGGCTCTGGTCCAAGTTCTCCCAAGGACCAATTATGATTTTAGTGATTTCCTGTGAGAGATAAAATTATGTGGTCACATAGAGTTTCACACACATTTAAAATGCTTGTTCTTTTGTGAACAATTTGTATACAGATTATCTTCATACTTTAGCTTTTTGGAACTTTGAAATGGACCTACTGATTAAACATTTAACTGGTGCATGTTTCTTTGTGGGTAATGATGATGGACTACAGAATCAATTTTACATTTGTATATTGTTTAAAAAAAGATGTCAGTTCTGATGCTTTATTTTTAATTGTTTTATAAATTTAAATTTTTACCAGATAGAGTGGATTATATCTTCATTTGTTTTTATTAATCTCAGATCTGGAGCAGATCCAAAGCAAATTTGGTGTATTCCCCATTTTGGTAATATATTTATATTTTTAACTGCCAGAAATGAAATACATGAAGTATTTAACATTTTTTATAGTCATTTTGTCCAGTGATGATGATGATGACAGTGACAGGACTAACAGAAGAGAGAGCATATCTCCTCAACCTGCTGATTCAGCATGTTCTTCCCCAGCACCATCCACTGGAAAAGTAGAAGCAGCACTAAATGAAAATACCTGTAGATTAGAGCATGAACTAAGAAGCATTCCAGCAGATTCAGAGTTAAATACAGTCCCATTGCCAAGAAAAGCAAGAATGAAAGATCAGGTACATTTTACGTTTATTGACATTTATTCAGATTATGTCTCCCTTCTGGGATGTTTGGAGGGTAATTTGGCAGTCTTAATAGGAGAAAAAGATGAATTATTCATTAAGTGGGACTTAAACTACCACGGGGAAGATTATTTGGAAGAATAGTCAGTTAAATCGCAGCTTAAAGTGTAAAATACTCAGAAAGAAGAAACAATTTTAATGTTACACCAAAATGTAAGTATAAACAAGTATTATATGTGTATAATTGGAACAGGGAGAAGTCATTTTTATTTTTATTTTATTTTTTATTCCTTACCCGAGGATATTTTTCTATTTATTATTAGATAGAGTGGGAGGGAGGGAGAGAGAGAGACAGAGAGAAACATTGCTGTGATAGAGCCATATTGACTGGTTGCCTCCCACACAACCCAACCAGGGACAACCGAGGTATGTGCCCTTGACCGGAATCAAACCAGTGACTCATTGGCCTGCAGGCGGAGGCTCTAACCACTGAGAAACACCGGCAAGGGCAGAAGTCATTTTTAACTTGGTTGTATTCAACTACATTGTTGTTGTACTGTATTATATTTTACTGTATAAAATTTTCAAAATGTTCAGATGGAAAAGATAAAAACTATGTCAGTAGACAAACAGATCTAGAGAGGAATATTTGTAATGCAGGAAAAAAAGGAATAGACAAAGAAAGTTCAGATAATAAACTACCACATAGGAAGTGCAAATTAGTAAGGGAGAGCCCATTAAGGAAGATAAAATATAACCATATTCTAAATAGACTTTCAAAATTAATACAAAATCAATGAATATATACTTCTGGCAAGAATATGAAGAAAAGAGTACTTTTGTAATTTCCTGATGGAAAAGAAAGTTGTTGTGACGTTTGGGGAAAGCAGTGTAAAAACATCTATTAAAATTTTTTAACTGTGTACTGAAAGACCTAGTAATTCATTCCCTAGACTCAATTTCAAAGGAATCCTTCTCCAGTACATAAGACTATATGTATAAATATTATTGTTGGCATACAACTGCATACAAAATCATTGCACATTAATGTGGAAATAGATAAAGAAATTATGGTATCTCCACACGATGGACTATTGTGCAGCCACTGACAAAAAAAAAATTAGAGCTATATTAATGACTTAGGATTTCTACATGGTCCTGTTAAATGGGTATACCAAGATGCAGAAATATGTGCATATTTTCTTATTTTTGTAAACAACTTAAATTTTAAACACATATAAAAAAATTATATATGGGGCTCTGGCCAAGTTGCTCAGTTGGTTGGAACATCATCCCATACACCGGAAGGGTTGCAGGTTTGATTTCCAATCAGGGCACATGACTAGGTTGTGGGTTTTATCTCCCGTTAGGGCGATTTAGCGGGGGAGCGGGGGGGTAGCTGATCAATGTTTCTCTGTCCGCTTTCCTCTCTCTCTTAAAAATCCTCAGGTAAGGATGAAAAAAGTTATATATGGGTTTACATGTATATGTATATCAGGGATTGTAGGAGTATTGATACAAATATGAAAACATACATACTTGGTTGTTAAGATGGGAACCATAAGAAATTAAAAATACAAAGTAATTATGGCCCTGGCCGGTTTGGCTCAGTGGTTAGATAGAGCATTGGCCTGAGGTCCAGAGAGATCTGGGTTCGGTTTCCGCTAAAGGCATGTACCTAGGTTACAGTTTGTCCCCGGCCCTGGTTGGGTTGTGTGGGTGGCAGCCACTCGATGTGTTCCTTTTACGTTGATGTTTCTCTCTTTCTCGCTCTTCCTCTCTCTCCCTCCTGCTCTATCTGAACAAAAAATTGAAGAATGTCCTCGGGTGAGGATTTAAAAAAAAGCAATTTTGAAGACAAAAGAAAAAATATAGATTAATATTTTAATATAATATTGAAGGATGCCTTTCTAAACATTCAGCACAAGCAATAATAGCGAGTGAAAAGATGAATATGTTTGATTAAATGAAAAGTACAAAACAGTGTAGCAAAACAAACATAATTTGATATATAAATAATGAAGAAAAAATAGTGAACTGTGTGAAACTGTGAGTTTGGTCCTTTATATATTTTTAATTTCTTAAAAATAAAAAAATAGAAGCACACCATAGTTCAAAATAGTAATAAAGTATTGAAAATGAAATTAAAACAATACATTTTGTTAACTGTCATTGCTGAAAACCTTAAAGTACAATAGTATCTCAGTTTGGCTAGTGTTTGGGGAAATGGAATGTTGGATATGTAAATTAATAAAATAACTATGCTGGAGGTCAGTTTGGCAATAATTATGTATACCAGGATTTAGCTGCAAAAATACTTCTTGGAGAATAGTATATTATGAGAAAAGGTCAGAAACAAATCAGATGTCAGTATAGGGAGCTTTTCACTTAAATAATTTCCATATGATAGAATTTGTGGCTGAGCAATTTTCAAATTGGCACACTGAACAATTGGGGTTCTTCAGAGATCTCTTAGAGGCTCTGAGGAGGATATGAACCACCCTAGTTCTAGACTCAGTCTCTCTATTATGGATTCAACTGGAGTAGTTCCTAAATTATCTGTCTTATTATTGAGCTAAATAATGTCTCATTTGAAGAAAGAATTCTAAAGCTAAAAATACTTTTTAAATCTCTGATAGGTTGCTGTTAATATCTGGGAAAATATTTATGATAAATCTGTTAATAAGTCTGAATGAGTAGTTTAAAGGAATAAGTATGTGTATGTATCACATTTTGGTTTGATATTTTTTCCTGTGACATAGATCATAGAAATGTCTCTACAGGTACAATCAGAATTGTACCTATCTCTATGCATTGGACGTTTTCTTCTCTTGTTTTTTATTTAGCTTAATTATTTTTTAAAAATATGATTTATTGATTTTTTTAGAGAGAGAGGAAGGGAGAGATAGAAACATCGATAGGCTGCCTCATGCATGCCCCCCACTGAGGACCAAGCCCTCTCAGTCCATGGGATGACGCTTAATCCACTGAGCTACACCGGCTGGACTCTTCTCTTATTTTTTGTTTTATGGAGATGATGTTTTATTCTTGTGATGATAATAATAAAGTTTTTAACGTAACTTTAATTACTTTTAATTTAAATTATATACTTACATAAAATCATTTATAATTAATTTGCAATAGGGCATGGCTGAAATCTTAATCTTGTTAAACTACTTAACAAATCAAGTAGTTTAATATTTTTAATATTATATCAGGAAGCATCCTTTTAGTTTTTTATTTTTATTGATTTTTTTAGAGAGAGAGAGAGAGAAACATTCATATGAGAGAGAAACATTGATTGGCTGCCTCCTGCATGCCCCCTACTGGGGATCAAACCCAAAATCTGGGCATGTGCCCTGACCAGTAATCAAACCTGGACCTCTCAGTCCATGGTATGACACTCAATCCACTGAGCTACACCACCTGGGCAAGAAGCTTCCTTTTTTGATACAAATAATTACACCCCTAAATTATCTTGATTTAATCCCAAGTTCTATAATCACTACCACTGTTAACTAGCTAACTCTTATCTTGTATTTTACTGTGCATGAAACACTGTGCTAAGTTGCTTATAGGCATTAGCTCATTTGAGTAGATACTTTTACTCTTCATATTTTACAGTTTAGGAAACCAAAACTTAAGGAGTTATTATGGTTAAGTTTACAAAATTAGATAATTAAAAGATGGTATAGCTGTGATTTGAAGCCAAGCAGTCTGATTTCCAGAGTACCATTTCTCAGTGCTGTGCTATTTGAATTTCAAGTAATAACTAGATAATGTATAACTATGTAAAATAAAAGGATTTATTATTGTATAAAATCAATAAATTTTTACTTCATTTAACACTTCATTAATTAAAATTAATCTTATGCTTTGATAATTACATTTCTCATATTGGGTCTTCTCTGCATAAGTATACTCAGTTCACAGCCTTGTTTTAATAACTTATTAAGTGAATTTTTCTTTTCTTTTTCAGTTTGGTAATTCTATTATCAACACACCTATAAAACGTCGCAAAGTGATTTCTCAAGAAACTTTAGTTGATCCTGTATCTTTAAGCTGCCAGAATTCCTTTGACAGTGTCATTTTAAACTGTCGAAGTATACGAGTAGGAACACTCTTTCGGCTATTAATAGAGCCTGTAATTGTAAGTACATCCTTAAGCATTCATTGTACCTATTATAAGATTCAGAATTCTGTGGTTAAGGATAATACGTAATACTTTAAAATTTGTAAGTTAAAATATTTCATTTAATAGAATATTAAAATTATTTTAAGATTTTATATTTAACAGCGTATAAACAATTATAAAATAACTCCTCACCATAAAAATCAGTGAGTAAAAACTTTTTCAGTATTCAGGGTTCAAGGTAGTGACATATTCATTGTAGGAAGATACTTAGTATTTTCACTGAGTTAGAAAACCCTCCAATATCTTAATATTTTATTCTTATGCTAGCTCAATGCATGAAAAGTGTATTATAATAATATAATGACAGCCCTGGTCAGTTTGGCTTAGCGGTTAGAGCATTGGCCCGTGGACCCAGAGAGTCCTGGGTTCGGTTTCCACTAAGGGCACATACCTCGGTTGCAGTTTGTCGGCCTCGGTTGGGGTTTTGCTGGTGGCAGCCACTCAATGTATGTCTCTCATATCGATGTTTCTCTCTTCCTCCCCCTCTCCCTCCTGCTCCATCTGAATATAAATGCAAAAATATCCTTGGGTGAGGATTAAAAAAAAAAAAAGAATATAATGACAGAAAGAAGAATCCAAAAGTTTTGAAGTCTGTACAAAAATGTCTCGAAGCATTAAGACTGCTAGAAATAGATTATTGGACTACAATAGCCACCCAAAAGGCACTGGAGTTCAGTATCCACAAAACTGAAAGGACTTTTTGTAGTCCTTTATTTTTATCTGTCATACCTGTTTTCTTAATTATTTTAATGCTACCAATCCAATTTAAATGTGCATTTCTTTTTAAATCCTCACCTGAGGATGAATTTCCATTTATTTTCAGACACAGTGCAAGGGAGGGAGGGAGGGAGAGAGAGAGAGAAAAACATCAATATGAGAGAGACACATCTATTGGCTACTTCCTACACTACCCTAACCAGGGCCAGGGACTGAACCACAACTGAGGTATGTGACCTTGAATGGAATCAAACCCGAGATTCTTTGGTCCATGAGCTGATGTTCTAACCACAGAGCCTAACCGGCCAGAGCTCCAATGTGCATTTTTTTTCTTTTTATTTAAAAAGAATTTTTTTTTCTTCTTTATTGATTTTAGAGAGGAGGGAGAGAAATAGAAACATTGATGAGAGAGAACATCAATTGGTTGCCTCCTGCATGCCCCACATTGAGGATTTGGCCCATAACCTGGGCATGTGCCCTGACTGGATATCGAACAGGTGACCTCTTGGTACATGGGTCGATGCTCAGCCACTGAGCCACACCAGCTGGGCTCAAATGTGTATTTTCTATTTGAAATTTTAATGTAATCTCCTTAAGTAGCCTTGTTATTTATTATTTTTCTTCTTTCTAATATGTTCTATACATTGTTAGTAAATTAGTCCTCCTTTAGCATTGCACTTATTTTGTAAGCCTTTATTTTATAATTCCTTAACTTGGTGTGCTTGACTATCCATTTCTAACCTTTTAAACTCTGTCTTCTAGTATTGTTCTTTATACATAAGGAAGGATCTTTATGTATACTTAACAGTGTGTTAAGAAAACACATTGTATTATATTGGGAAAGTTAAAAGGTAGCTTTATTATTATTTAAGTTATGGTAAATAATAGCTATTTTCTAGGATTCATGATTCTAGAATAAATACGATCAAAAGGGAAAAAATAGTTTATAAGTTTGTTTATAGGAAAAAATGAAATGTGGACCTGATTTCTTAGGAGTCAAAGCCATATGGAAAGCCAGCACTTTTTTTCCATCAAAAACTCCAGCTTCTCACAATTTAAAAACTAGAACTTTAAGTACTTCAGAGATTTATAGCAAATTATATGTAGACTAGTCATTATTGCCCAGTAGCATTGTTATATATCAGGGTTTTATGGGATTTATGAAGCTTCTGTTTTGTTGCAAGTCTTCATGATACAGATTATCTTTCCTGGTACTGGCAGATAACAAAAATGTTATTCTTTGTCTCTATAATTCAGAAATTTCTAGGAATGAATACCCTATAGGTTTTGGGTTTTTCCAACCACATGATTCAGAGCACCATTATTCAGAACTCCATGATACGATAATTAAGGCTAATAAGTTAGGCATTTAGTTGAAAGTTGCATAGTCTCGCCCGGCTGGTATGGCTCAGCAGTTGAGCGTTGACCCATGCACCAAGAGGTCACTGGTTCGATTCCCAGTAAGGGCACATGCCCAGGTTGTGGGCCTGATCCCCAGTGTGAGGTATGCAGGAGGCGGCTGATTGATGTTCTCTCTCATCAATGTTTCTTTCTCTCCTCCTCCCTTCGTCTCTCTAAAATCAATAAAGATAAAAAAGTTGCATAATCTCAAGGCTCTCTAGCAAGAACTAGTTGAATGAATTTTTTTACATGAAAGTTATAGATTACTTTGTATGTTCTAGTGAAGAAGAACTGAATTTACTTTAAAAAATAGCCCTGGCCAGTTTGGTTCAGCAGTTAGAGCATCGGCCTGTGGTCCAGAGAGACCCGGGTTCAGTTCTCGCTAAGGGCATGTACCTCGGGTGAAGTTTGTCCCGGCCCTGGTTGGTTGTGCGGGTGGTGGCCACTCGATGTTTCTCTCTCTCTTTCTCTCCCTCCCACTCTATCTGAACAAGAAATGGAAAAATGTCCTCAGGTGAGGATAAAAAAATTAAAAAGTAAAAGACAGTATGTGTAGTATAAAAATGTGTTGATAATAGGTTTTTTGTTTTTTTTTAATTAAAATGCTAAATGAAATAGTTCAGCCAAAAAGTAGTTGTGCTTGTAATATGGATGTTTGCAATCTGTTATTAACCTTTTTTGTACCGTGGGATTTTCCCAAAGAATATTTTTTTTCTTTATTGATTTTAGAGAGAGAGGAAGGGAGAGGGAGAAAGAGATAGAAACATCATGAGAGAGAACATCGATTAGCTGCCTCCTGCATGCCCCCCACTGGGGATCGGGCCCACATCCTGGGCATGGGCCCTGTCTGGGAATCGAACCGGCGACCTCTTGGTGCGTGGGTCAGTGCTCAACCACTGGGCCACACCAGCTGGGCAAATGGTTCCACTTTAGTGTGTATGTCATCCTTATTGCTACTTTTTGAGTATTCTGACATACTTTTCTAAAGGCTATAACTTCAGCTTCTATGTTTGTTGGAATGTCTCCCAAGCTATAAGTATGTATGTATTCTTTTTATTTTATTTTTAATCTTCACTCGAGGATATTTTTCCATTTATCTTCAGATAGAGTGGGAGGGAGGAAGAGAGGGAGAGAGAAAAGTATCGTTGCCTCTTGCACGACCCCAACCAGGGCCAGGGACCAAACCACAACCAAGGTAGTGCCCTTGACTGGAATCGAACCCTCGACTTTGGTCCACGGGCTGACGCTCCAACCACTGACCCAAACCTACTAGGGTGTACCTATTCTTATGTCTTCAAGTAATATGTTGCTTTCCAGTGAAACCAATTAAAGTTTTATTTTTAAACATGATCTTTAGAAGGTATTTTAGTGACATTCTAGACTTTGCAGTTGTTATAATTACTAAATTTATTTTGTATTTTCTTGCTTCCTTTTTTACATTATGAAAATTCTCAAACAGAATAGTTGAAAGAATTTTACGGTGAACACATAAAACTCCCAACTAGATTCTGCCATTAGCATTGTACTAAATATGCTTTTCATGTATCTATTCATCCCACTGTGTATCGATCCAACTTATTTTTTTAATGCTTTTTGAAGTTCTTGCCTCCTTTTTTGATTCTTTTAACTTTTTTTTTGTAATCATCCTCACTCGAGGACATTTTTCCATTCTTTGCTCAGGTAGAGTGGGAGGGAGAGAGAGGAACAGAGAGAGAGAGAGAAACATCGATGTGAAAGGGACACATCGAGTGGCTGCCACCCGCACAACCGACCAGGGCCGGGGACAAACTGCAACCGAGGTACATGCCCTTAGCGGGAACCGAACCCGGGTCTCTCCGGACCGCAGGCCGATGCTCTAACCGCTGAGCCAAACCGGCCAGGGCAGATTCTTTTAACTTTTGTAAATAAACAACATTATTATTAATTTAGGGTGTATCATATCAGGCTTGCTATGTCTTCTCTACATTAAAATAGTTACAAAGTCACATTTTTATAAAGACCAATAATAACTGATTTAGGCAAGATCTTCCATAGATGTTAAAGTCATTAGATGAAAATTTATTAAGAAATAGGATAGTCACAAGCTTTCAAGTATTTCTCCACAGCTTACCATTTAGTTACAAAAGGGAAAATATATCTTTACAGTGAAACGACTTGATAAACTGCCTTCACCAAATGATTAAGCTTGTATCGATAATGGGGCTGCCTGACATGTGCCTTCCAATGCGGTGCAGTCCAGGATGTTGTCATTTTTCAGAACCCAGCTTGGATTTTTTAAAGGCCATGTCATGAAGAACATAGGGAGGTTTCTTTCTGGTCTGGACAGCAGTATTCAGACGGGACTAATGTAATGTTCTCTTGACAGAATCATCAATTGGGGAAAAGTTAAAGCTGCAGTAAAGGACAATTTTGAATAATTGGAGAAATATGAGTATGAACTGTATGTTGAAGGAAGTTAATTTTGATTTTCTTAGATGTTGTAAAGAACCTCTGCCTTTATGCTGGTTTAGCAAAAGAGAAGTTACTCTGTGCATAGAAAGAATGATTGAATAGGTGTTGGGAAGACATTAACAGTGAATCTGGGTGACAGTATTCAGATATTTATTGTAATATTTTCTCAGCCTTCTTTGAAGTTATGAGAAATAAATCAATAGTATAAGAATGTTCTCAGTACTTGAATAAAAAAGGTGAAGCCTATTTTTCTGAGAGATAATTTGGGGGTGGGGAGAATATCTTATTTTATATTTAAGCACATGATAGATGATTCAGTTCTTCTGCCCTCTGTAGTCTAAGTACCAAATCATATGTCATTTAGGGTGTTTGTAGCAATGGCTTCATAAGTCTAGATTGGCATTAATTTGTCTTATTTTTTTAGTTTTGTTTAGATTTTATCAAGATACAGCTAGAAGGTAAGCTATTATGTCTTTTTACTCACTTAAGCTTTGTTTATGCTAAAACACTTTACAGGAATCAAAGATTAAATGATATTCATAGAATTCATTAAGATAATTAGTTATTACATATATATATCTCAACAAAAGGCATATATCTTAAAAGTGTAATTTTATTCTGTAACATCACAAAACATAGCTTTAATTTTGTAATTATACTTCATTAGAACCCTCTTTTCATTTGGGAAAAAATGTAGAAGCTTCTTTAAGATAATTATAAAGATTTTTCTTCATTTCCCACTAGAAATTACTATTTACACAGCATAATAAATGTGTTTTTTTAACTTGTATTTTCTCACACTTTTCTTTATTTATGAATTGCTGTTTTAAAAATTGATTCATTTTTCATTTCCATTTGTTTTCCTCCAGAACCAGAAAATGATCCTGTAGGGATTACTTTAAATACCTCTGATTTAACTAAATGTGAATGGTGTAATGTCCGAAAATTACCAGTAGTGTTTCTTCAGACGATACCAGCAGTTTATCAGAAGCTGAGTATGCAACTGCAGATGGAGGATAAAGTTTGGAATGATTGTAAAGGAATAAATAAGTTAACAAGTAAGTTATATAAAATGGATTATAATGATACATAGAATTCACTGCAGAATGAGAGTACACTTTGATAGATCCCTTAGATGGATATTCTATTCCTGTTCCTATTTCTATTCCATAAGATAGATATTACTTTCCCCATTTTACAGATGAGGAAAGGCCCACATAAAGTGGAAGGTCTGACAATTAGACAGACACAGGTTTACCCATTGAGAAAGTTTTCAAAATGATTAAAACTCAAAAAAGGTCTGCACTTTTTAACACTGTATTATTTCAGTAAAATGATTTTTTAAAAATTGTTTCAATAGCAGTTTACTTTCAGTATTAGTTTGTATTGGTTTCAGGTATACAGCATAGGGGTTAGATAAAATAATTTTTTTTAATGCACTGATAGGTACTAAATGTAAATCAACCATATAAATCTGGAATCCTTGAAACTTAGCTTGAATAGAAAGTTTGCAAGTTTGTAGAATGTGTCTTTAATCTCTATAAGTGATGTGGTTCTCCAGTTTGCTTCTGCCTCTAATATTTATGGCACATCATGACTAGTTGTAAAATAAATACTTATCAGTAGTATTTGCTGCTTTCAGCTTAATGATGAATAATTGATAGCTACTGTTAAAATTGCAAGAGTTTGCACATTAGTGAATAGCAGTTTTTACAGTTAAATTCTCTAAAGATACTATCAGTTCACTTGGAAATTTCTTATTTATGTTTGATAAAAATATTAATTGATATATGTTTAAAACTATAAATATATTTGGATCTTATTAGATGAAGTAAGTTAGTTATACTCATGAATAGATTTGTTCTGGAACTACTGCTAGAGTAATGTGTTCTGATTCCTTAAAAACTTAAGTGACATTGTCAGGTAACACTGTCACTGGTCTTGATCCAATGGAATAACTAGTTGTTACTCTTTTTCTAATAGCTTTCTATTCACTCTTTTTGAGGGGACTTAAAGTTATATTGCTTTCTTTTCAGATTTGGAAGAACAGTATATAATTTTAATTTTTCAAAATGGCCTTGATCCTCAAGCAAATACAGTATTTGAAAGTATCATTACTGAAATTGGTATAAAGAATAATGTGTCCAATTTTTTTGTGAAAATTCCCTTTGAAGAAGCCAATAGCAGACTTGTTGCCTGTACAAGAACCTATGAAGAAAGCATCAAAGGAAGTTGTGTGCAAAAAGAAAACAAAATTAAAAATGTAATTATACTTTTTAATTTTTTAAATATAATCTTAAATAGTGTGTAGCTTTAAAGGGAAATATGTTTTATGTATTATAATACTGTTAATTTCAGAGTTGTTTTTTTTAAATCCTCACCCAAGGACATAGAGAGAGGGAGGGAGAGGGGGAGAGGGGAGAGAGAGACAGAAAGGGACATAGACATGGATGTGAGAGAGAAACATCTGTATGTGCCCTGACCAGGAATTGAACCTGCAACCCAGGCATGTGACCTGACCGGGAATCAAACCACAGCCTTTTGGTGACACTTAACCAACTGAGCCATTCCAGCTGGGCCAAAGTTAGATTTTTTGAAATTCCATTTCATAGTTATTTGCTTTAATACACAAATTATAATTGTCTTGTGTCAAAATATAATGGTAAATAGGTGACTTGTGACACAAATAGTACTTGGCACAGGTTTTAGAAGCATTTTTAGTTCCTTTCCACACTCTATTCTTGTCTTTACTTTTCATCTCCTTTTTTTTTTTTCTTTTTTTCTCACCTTCAACATATATATACATACACTGCTACTTTTTAGTTTTTTATTATGCTGTTTCTTAAATTTGCTGGTGGTTTCTAGTGATGCCATTGCTATCAACACACAGAATTTTGGTTCCAGATGTACATTTATATGTAGCATGTACATACATGGTTGAAAACTTGGGAAATGAAGAATACCTACCATCCTGACACTCAACATATGTATCCAGTTCTAGAATAACTAATACAGTAGATAACTCTGAAGCCACCTGAATCAAAGGCCACAGTACTATTATAACATGTAGTATAATAAATAATATAAATATATCTTAACTACTCTAAATTTATCCCCCACCACAGCAGCTGAATTTTGCTGACTTTATTTATTGGGAACACTTAAAAATCTTTCAGCCTTGTATACAGTTAAATATAGGGCTATCCCAAGTACAGTCTTAGTACAGTTGACAAGGCTTCACCAGAGAACTATTCATACAGTTAGTTGAGGAAAAGAGCAGAAGAAGGAAGGGGAATGATTCTCCTTTTGCAAAATTGTCTGTAGAAGATAATTCCGGAGGAAAAAGAACAGCTAGAGCCGTGGGGCAGCTGCGATGGGCTCAAATTTCAATGGAAGGCTCTTCCTTTAGCTCCCTGACTCAGGAGGACTGGAGCTCATTGAACTGTGTTCCCTCAGCCTCTGTTCCTTATCCTATGGATTGCCTAGCCATGAACTTAGGTAGCCTCCACTGCTAGAATAAAAAAACATATCTGTTCTTTGGATTTTACGGATAGTAGAGATTTTAGATATGCATACTAGAGACCATTGTTACAAAAATTGAAGAGTATCACAGTACCAGAAATTAGAGATAAAAAATAAAGTAGACCATAGTTTTTCCTGTTTCTTAGTTTTAATTTTTAAAAATCATGCATACTTTTTAGATTTATTGTTTTAATCCTTTTTAATTGAAAAGCATTCTTACCTTGTGCTTGCTCTTTTTATTGAAAATTTTCCCAGTTGATTTTGTGACTTGATCATTTAATTTCCTTTTCCAGGTGCCCCTGGAATCTAAAATACACTTTAAAAGCAAACATGAATTCCAGTTTTTTGATGATGAGGAGGAAACTGGAGAGAGTCATACCATCTTTATGGGTCCTGTAGAAAAGTGAGAGAATTCCATTACATTTGCAACACTCTTAAATTTTTTCTCTGTCTTATTACATTTCAATTATATATATAATTATGTATGCATTTATATACACACATACACATATTTGATAATTTGCTTTTTAAAAAAAATTTTGTTACAGATTGATAGTATATCCACCACCTCCAGCCAAGGGAGGCATCTCCGTTACTAATGAGGACCTGCACTGTTTAAGTGAAGGAGAATTTTTAAATGATGTTATTATAGACTTTTATTTGAAGTAAGTTAATTTTCTATTAACCTTTTATCAAATCTTTTACGTTCTATTATGTGTATCTTTGTTTTCTAGAGTCAAAACTACTTTGGTTTTGAATTCTATTGTTGCCACTTAGTGTGGGAAGTTATTTAATGTCTCTACCTGTGGTTCCTCATTTTAAAAATGGGGAGAATAATTATATCTAAAAGGGTTGTAAGGGTAAATAAGGTAATACATGTTAATTAAGCACTAGGGAAAATACCTGGCACATACTAAATGTTCTTAAATGATAGCTTATTTTATTATTTTTACAGTGTTTTAAGCCTTTAACATTGTTACTATCCTAGGCTAGGTAATTTCTTGAGCAAGCACAAAAGTATGATTTCACTCATTTCTTTCAGTAAATGTTCACCAAGTACCAGCTATGTACCAAGTATTGTGTTAGAAGTTTTTGGTCTTGTTGGCAACACAGCTATGGGATTAAAGCATTACTAGAAGACCAAGTAGAAAAAAGAATGCTTCATTCTCTTTAGAGGTTGGGAAATATGAGGAACCAAGGAGCTTTCCTGGAAGAGCTTACATCATGACCCAGTATACACATGCATATACATGTATGTGCAGTGTGTTTATACATGTATAAATTTGTATGTGTTTACTGGTTTGTGATATAAAATGGTGTATATGAAAAAAAACAACTTAAGTGTCAGTGTGCCTAGTGCTGTGCAATACTTTCTGGTTTATTCAAGCGTATTTCATAAAACAAAACAATTTTTAAAAATCTGATAGTTGAAAGCTGCTGAATGGTTTTATATCCTACTAATGGTTGCAGTCCACTGGAGAAAGAAAACATTGTTAAAAAGAGTAATAAGTTCTGATCAGAGAAATGATGTCATAATTAAGTTTCCTTAAGATCATTTGGACAAGCATTTTTATTGTGGCTGTCTAGATGAGAGATAATTTAAAGAAATTTAAGGTAATAGCCCTATTCGGTTTGGCTCAGCAGTTAGAGCGTTGGCCTGCAGTCTGGAGAGACCTGGGTTCGGTTCCCGCTAAGGACACGTACCTTGGTTGCAGTTTGTCCCCAGCCCTGGTTGGGTTGTGTGGGTGGCAACCACTCGATGTGTCCCTTTCACGCCAACGTTTCTCTCTCTCTCTCTCCCTCCCACTCTATCTGAACAAAATATTGAAAAATGTCCTCGGGTGAGGATAAAAGAAAAAAGAAATTTAAGGTGATAGAAGAAGCCTGATTAAGTCATTTTAGTTTGAGGGAAAAGGAAATAATGAAAGGTTTTAAGAGGTAGAGTTGTTTAGCAGGATTCTAAGCCTGACTGAATGGATATTAAAAAGGATAGAAATGAGTGCCAAATAACTCCTAGTTTTCTGAGTTAAATGATTTTGCTAAATGATTTTGCCACTAGCTGAAGCAATGACTGCAGAATCAGAATAGATTTTGATAGAGGAGGGGAAAATATTCCTTTTAGATTTCAAACTGAATGAGAAAGGACAATCAATAGATTTTCAACACCAAGATGACACAGAAACTAGAATTATCTAACAAGGATTTTAAAGCATCTATCATAAAAATTCTTTAATGAACAATTACAAACACATGGAACTTGTTGGCAGAGTGGATTAAATAACATAGCCCAACTATGTCTTATCTACAAAAGAACTCACTTAAAAGATAATGATATATATAAGTTGAAAGGAAAAGGATGGAAAAAGATACAGCTTGCAAATATTAATGGAGAGCAGGAGTTGCTATGTTATAAGATAAAGTAAATTTCAGAGCAAAGACAATTAATTACCAGGATAGAGAGGGACATTATATAGTGATAAATGAGTGAATCCACCAAGAAGACCTGCAGTCCTTTTTGGGTATGTGCAATACAATAGACCTATGAAATATGTGAAGCAAAAACTGGTAGGCCTAAAAGGAAAAACAGAAAAATCCACAAATATTGTTGGAAACTTTAATTCCCTTCTCTCAACAGTTGATAGAACAACTAAACAAAATCAACAAAGATACAGAAGAATGCAACAAACCATCAACCAATAAGATTTACTTAACATTAGGGGGTAATATCTACCCCCTTTTCAAAGACACTTTTTCCTTTTGAAGTGTTAATGGTAATGGAATATATTTTAGTAAATTATCAGTGTGTCATAGATTTGCTAGCAATTGAAACTGCCCTAGATTTTAAATGCCTAATTTTGCAGATGTAGACACCTTTGAGACCTAACAGTCATTAAATGACAAGTTTAAACAAAGTTCTTAATAGCTAAATCAAAAGATGTTATCTCGCCCTGGCCCATTAGACTCGGTGGTTAGAGCTTTGGCTCATAGACCAAAGGGTCATGGGTTTGATTCCTGGTCAGGGGCATGTACCTCGGTTGTAGGTTCGATACCCAGCCCTGGTTGGTGTCCTGCAGGAGGCATCCTGTCGATGTGTCTCTTTCACATTGATGTTTTTCTCTCTCTCTCTCCCTCCTTCCCCTCTAAAAATCAGTGGAAAAATATCTCCCAAAAATGTTATACAGATAGCCAATAAGCATATGAAAAGATCCTGGACATTATTAATCATCAGAGAAATATAAATCAAAACCAAAATGAGATGTCGTTTCACACCCACTAGGATGGCAACTTTTAAGAAAAAAAGCTATTAAAAAAAGAAAAATAACATATGGACGAATGGCATCTTGTGTACTGCTACTGGGGGTGTAAAATGGTACAGCTAACACAGAAAACAGTCTGGTGATTCCTCAAAACCACCATGGAAGCATGGAGCAGACTGATGAATCTCAGAGGGAAGGGGGTGGTGGGAAGAGAAACCAAAGAACTTATATGTAGGTATGCATAACCCAAAACATGGACAGTAGTGTGGTAAAGGCCTGGGGGGGGGGGGGGGGTCAATGGGATAAAAGCGGGGACATCTGTAATACTTCCAATAATAAAGAAATTTAAAAATGAGTTTGAAGCCATAATCACCACAGGGGGAAAATAATTAAAAATAGACTACCATATGGTCTAACAATCCTATTTCTGGGTATATATCTAAAGAAAGTAGAGTTTCAGTTATTTGCGTAACCATGTTCATAGTAGCACTATTCACTAATAGTCAAGAGTGGAAGCAACCCAAACGGTCCTTTGATGGTTGGATGTATAAACAAAATGTATATTGTATACAATATATACAATGTAATATTCTGCCTTAAAAAAGAAGAAGTCTTGGCCGGGTGGCTCAGTTGGTTGGAGTGTGTCATCCCATACACTAGAAATGTTGCAGATCCCATTTCCAAGTCGGCACATACCTGGGTTGCAGGTTGGATCCCTCCCTAGTCAGGGCATGTATGGGAGGCATCCAGTTGATATTTCTTTCTTACATCGATGTTCTTTCTCTCTAAAATCAATTAAAAACAAAACAAAATAAACATATTTTGGGTGAGGATTTAAAAAAGGCCCTGGCCAGCTGGCTTAGTTAATTGGAGCATCATTCTGCACACTGAAAGGTTGCAGGTTTGATTTCCCCATCAGGGTACATACCTGGGTTGTGGGTTAGATCCCCAGTCAGGGCACCTATGGGAGGCAGCCAGTCAGTGTTTCTCACAGCTATTATTTCTCTCTCTCACCCTTCTTCTGTCTATTCAAAACGAAACAAAAACCCATATCCTCAGGTGAGAATTTTTTAAAAAAAGGAAACCTGTCACATACTACAACATGGATGAATCTGAAAGATTTTATGCAAAGTGAAATAAGCCAGTCACAAAAAGATAGTTCCACTTAGTTAACTGAAGTAATCAGATTCATCAAAAATGAAAGTAAATGGCCTTGGCTGGTTTGGCTCAGCAGTAGAGTGTCAGCCTGTGGACCAATGAGTCTCAGGTTTGTTTCCAGCTAAGGGCATATTACCTAGGTTGCGGTTCGTCCCTGGCCCTGGTCGGGGTCTTGTGGGAAGCAACCAGTTGATGTCTCTCTCTCACATCAGTGTTTTTCTCTCTCTCCCCATCTCCTTCTGTCTCCTTCCCACTCTGTCTGCAGATAAATAGAAAAATATGCTTGGGTGAGGACTAAAAATAAATAAAAATAAAAATGAAAGTAAATGGTGGTTATCAGGAGTAGGGAATTGTTACTTAATGGATATGGAGTTTTAGTTTGCAAGTTTAAAAACTTCTGGAGATCTATTTCACAACAATGTGAATATACTTCACAGTACTGAACTGTACAGTTAAATATGCTTATGATTGCACATTTTGTGTATTTTTTCATAATTTAAAAAATGTTAATTCTTAATTCTACTTTGTACCTGACAAACCAAGCTATTGAAAAGTCTTAAGTGATTATATAGAACAACAGCGCTGCTGTTGGATGACGTTTTCTGTGAATGTCAATTAGGTCAACTTGTTTGATGTTGTATTTGGCTCATCTTTATCCTTAGCTGATTTTCCACATAGTTATACTATCAATTATTGAGAAGGTTGTTGATATCCAACTGTAATTAAGGACTTGTCTGTTTCTCCTTTTAGGTCTATCAGTTTTTGCCATATGTATTTTGAAGCCCTGTTGTTAGGCACATACACTTTTATGCCTTCTTGGAGATTTGATCCCTTTATTATGTATTGTCCCTCTTTATCCTTGATAATCTTCCTTGTTCTTAAGCCCACTTTATTCAAGATGAATGTAGCTATTCCAGCTTTCTTTCAGTTTATGTTTCCATAGTATGTATTTCTTTACCTCTTTACTTTTTTTTTTTATTCTCACCTGAGGACATCCTCCCATTTTTTGTTCAGATTGAGTGGGAAGGAGAGAGAGGGAGAGAGAGAGAGAAACATTGACGTGAAAGGGAAACATCGAGTGGCTGCCACCTGCACAACCAACCAGGACTGGGGACAAACTGCAACCGAGGTACGTGCCCTTAGCGGGAACCGAACCCAGGTCTCTCTGGACCACAGGCCGACGCTCTAACCGCTGAGCCAAACCGGCCAGGGCACTTTACTTTTAACTTGCTTAAGTCTTTCTACTTAAAATGTTTTTTTGTTTTTGAAAGCATGTAGGTGGATCTAAAAACTAAGTTGAACTCCCAATATTTTGTTTATATTTTAGTTTATTTCATTTCTACATAAATAATATATAATTTTTACATTACAGTGAATATTTTATAGTCATTTGTTTGTACTCTTGAAATTCTTTATATTTTCAGGAGGCCCCTTGGCATTTTATAGTTAAACTTGGAAACAAATTTTATACGGTAAATTTAATTATCTACAAGTTCTGTCTTTTGTGATGCAAATTAGTATTCCATATAAAAAGAAAACCTAACAAAATCTATGGTTTATATTTGTCCCGTGGCATTCTTAGAAATGAATTTTTAAAAGGGAACTTTTAAAACTTCACTATTAAAATCAGTTATTTGGCTGCTATCAAAGCTGCTCATTCTTTTCTCTTTAGCTTTTTAAAAATTTTACTTTTCAATTACAGTCGATATTCAGTATTATTTTATATTAGTTTCTGGTGTTCAGCACAGTGGTTAAACAATTATATAATTTATAAAGTGATCCCCCAGTTCATTCTTTCTAGCTAACTTTTAAACAAAATTTGCCAATATTATAAGAAGTAGAAGAGCATTGCATCTAGAAAATGTTAATAAAATGCAGAGAAGAAAATAATTAAAGAAATTACTTTCAAAGTCACATAGAGTTGCAGAGTAAACTTAAAATAATCTTTTAACTTAATCCTATAGTTAAAGAAATAATGATTTGATTACTGGATTGTTTACTTTATGAAATACCAAGTGAATAGCATCACCATGATATTCAATATTTAAATGATTTATATAGAAAGAAGACAATGCACCCAAATGGAAGAAATTCCCGTAAGATTTTTGTAATAAACTTTAATATTCTCTTTATTTCTAAAATAAGAGGTGTGGCTTTTCTAATTAAAGTTAATAGTTCTAACATATGTACATTAAAAAACAACTATATATAGTCACAGAAATACTTGTGGATGTATCTCAGATCAGAAAGATAAACTAGTTACTTTATAAGGCATGTATTTGTTTACATATGAAGTTGAAAGTCAGTTTTCTTAAATCACAAATGACTTTCCTTTTTTAAATTGAATCATCCCTTTGTTTATTTGATTTAGTTTTCCAAAGTAGCCATTGTAGTTTGGACTGGTGAAAGCTGCATGGTTCACCAATTATGATATAGCTCCTAAACTCAGATCTGCTTGCTTCTCTGCATGCTTTGTTTTGAGTTTATTATTGTAAAATTCAATGATTGATTTAAACTGTGTCATGAGATGATTCACTGTCTTATAATTTATTTTGTGAGGACTCACTGAGTTTCCCTAAAGGAAGACATTCTGTAGTTAGGTCCTTTGAATCTTCACTTAAGCTTTAAAATTAGCAATTACAATAAGTGATATGTCTCAAGGTGTGCCTTCTGGGACATTTGCTGTTTCTGTAAGATTTCACAAGGCTTCAGACTATTCTCATTTTAATTAACTGAATATTGTCATGAACTTGATTTTGCATAGCTCATTTGAGCGAGTTTGGAACACAAACTCCCTGCTGTTTGTTAAGAAAAAACAACAAAGGCAAGGAAGAATTAGAACCAATTTACTTTAATGAGTCATTGTTACAATCTCACCACTGTATAGGTTCTTTCTGTTTGTTTTCTGCTTTTGTTAAAAAATATGTATGTCTAGCCCTGGCCGGTTTGGCTCAGCGGTTAGAGCGTCGGCCTGCGGTCCCGGGAGACCCGGGTTCGGTTCCCGCTGAGGGCACGTACCTCGGTAGCAGTTTGTCCCTGGCCCTGGTTGGTCGTGCGGGTGGCAGCCACTCGATGTGTCCCTTTCACGTCGATGTTTCTTTCTCTCTCTCTCTCTCTCTCTCTCTCTCTCCCCCCCCCCCTCCTGCTCTACCTGAACAACAACAAAAAAAATGTCCTCGGGTGAGGATAAAAAAAAATATGTATGTCTAGTAATATATGGTTTATTAAATGAACTATTTAAAATAAGCAGCACATAAAAAATAATAGCTATATTGAGATATAGTGCACATAATACACAGTTCACTCATTTAAAGTGTACAGGTCAGTGGTTTTAGGATATTCAGACAGTTGTATAGTCATCACCATAGTCAATATCAGAGTATTTTCATCTCCCAAAAGAACCCCAGTACTCATTAGCAGTGACTCCTCATTTACCTCCAACCCCAGTCCCAGCTCTATGCAACCACCAGTCTCTTCTCTGTCTCTCTGGTTTTCCATATTCTGAACATTTCATGTACACAGAATTATACAACATGTGCTCCTTTGTGACTAGCTTCTTTCACTTAGCACAGTGTTTTCAAGGTTCTTCTATTTTATAGCTTGAATCAGTATTTTATTTTTTTTTCTTGCTGAGTATATTTCATTGTATGGATATATCACATTTTATTTTTTCATTCATTAGTTGATGAGCATTTCTACTTTGTGGCTGTTATAAATAATGTTGCTATGAATGTTTGTAAATGTGCCCTTGTTTTAAAATATTAGATCTTTCAAATCACAGTTTTACTCTCAAATATACTTTTCATTACTTGGGAATAATCTGTTAGTTATTGTGTATAATATGAAGTAAACTTTGTTTCTTTCAGTTGTAAGGAATAGAGAGATTGACTGTGGCTAAATAGATATTTAATTACTGCCTATTTTTAGTGTGAGGTAAACTGTTATATTCATTGTATTTGAATTATTTTTTATGAAATAGATATTTGGTGCTTGAAAAACTGAAGAAAGAAGAAGCTGACCGAATTCATATATTCAGTTCTTTTTTCTATAAACGCCTTAATCAGAGAGAGAGGAGGAATCTTCATGAAACAACTAATCTATCGTAAGTCAAGCTCTTTGAAAATATTTAACAAATGTAATAAGCTACTCAAATTTAACTTAGTGAAAAATCACTTATTTGTGACCTGGCCAGTGTGGCTCGGTTGATTTTGTGTCGTCCCGTGCACCAAAAGGGTCCCATGGACCAAAAGGTCACCAAAAGGTCCCATGGACCAAAAGGGTCCCATATCTGGTTTGCAGGCTCAGTCCCCAGTAAGGAGTGTGCAGGAGGCAGCCAATTGATGTTTCTCTCTCTCCCCTTGTCCCTTCCTCTCTCTCTAAAATCAGTAAAAACATTTTTTCTTAAAATCACCTATTGGATTAAATCCAATGTAAATGTGTGTCAATATCCATAATATTCTAAAACCTTAAGAATATGTGGAATTCATCAAGGTTTTAGGTGTAATATCTAGATCAGTATTTTCCTAATATGCCTGATGGTTTAAAAAAAATTACTTGGACACTTATTAAATACCATACTATCTAAGAGAGGAACCTGAGAATCTGTGCTTTTAATAAGTTCTTTTGATTCTTCTCAGATAAGTAAAGGACATACTATTCTACATATTAGGCCTGATAGTCCTGATTACTTTTGTTTATAATTCCTCTCCATTTAGTGATTGTATCCATCTCCAATACTTGCTGGTAATTTGTCAAAAGATACACACATAGAATTGGTACATTTTTATCGTAGTGTTGTTAAATGACTTGAGGTCTACTGTGCATAATACAAATAGTATTATCCACTAGTTCAGTGATTCCTAATTTTGTATCTGAGAATTGATGATATTGATTGGTTTTGACCAATGGTTGTAGTGTATTCTTCATCTACAGTAAGATGTTCATTTTTGTAAGATGCTCATTTTGTAAGATCTACAGTAAGATGCTCATTTTTCCTGCTCTCTTCTCCTCAGTTATCATAAGTCATGGTCTGACTTGCTTCTCCGTCTGGTTGCTTGTACCATTTCTACAGTAATAAACAATAGCAGCACTGGTTTACTCTAGTATGTAGTAGCAGGAATTAAATATCTTGTTCTTCCAGATTCAAGGATGGGCAGTTTTACGCCTTGCTATCTCTATCTCAGATGTTCTGTTTTCTTTCCCAAACTTGTTAAATCATCTTATACAACATCATAATACTCATAATTTATAAATTGGTGACTATAAGCTGAAGCTCTAGGAACATTTCAGAAACTTGATTGTCTGTCTTGTCTTGCAGAATACAGCAAAAGCGGCATGGGAGAGTAAAAACATGGACTCGGCATGTAGATATTTTTGAGAAGGATTTTATTTTTGTACCCCTTAATGAAGCGTAAGTAAGAATTCCCTTTCTGTTAATGTGGTGTGTAGGATGTGAAAAATTCATCTGTTTCAAACTTTTTAAAATTTGTTATGTATATCTATACTGACACTGCTTATTTTATGAAAATTAATTCAGTTTTCCAGTAAATCATGTAAGATAATTGAATTTTACAAACACTGAACTAGAGGTTTTTCTAATTTTGTTTTATTGGTCAATGTGGAATAATGTCAGTTTTTAAAATGGTGCTTGTGGTCTAGCAAACATCCTATAGAAAAAGCTATTTTATACAGAAAGATGATTAAGTCCCACAGAAGAATTTGAGTGTTTAGTTTAAAGCACATTTAGGCTCTTAACCAAGAAGAAGAAAAGATGGCTAGATTTATGCCATTTTCTCAAGTTGAAAATCATGCTGACTATTCAAAGCAGTTTTTTAAGTAAAAGGGGGAGGTTAAACATTTTGTGTTATTTTTTTCCCCAATCGTTAGAGAGGCATTGATGTGTAGGGTACTATTATTATACAATTTAGACTTAAGTGTGTTTGTGTTTCTTTTTTGTTGTTTTTGTTTTTCTCTGCCCTCCAGTCAAAGACCCCCAGGAATATACCTGTAGTTGGATAACTTTGGGCCTATTGTATCAAAGGAGAACACATACCATGGGCAGCCATGGAGCCTTTCAGTGAAAGTGTGTTTGAAAGACCCTGTAGCAGAATTTGGGCTTTGGTTTGGTGATTTGGGGAAAATCTAAGGAAGCAGTGGTTTGCTTGGGTGAAGAAGTAGCAGTATTCACTCATTGAGCAAAAAGGAGGGATTTTTGATATTTTGGGGTTGCATGGTGACCTTGTTTGTCTCTGCTTAGACATATTACGAAATGGTCTTGCTTTGTCTCACTTTATTATGGTTGCAGAGTAACCTTGTCTGAGGTTAGTATTCTGTGAGATTGTTTATGTCTAATAAGCCTAGCTGTGCCAGGCTAGCCTCGGAATATTTTTTTTTCTCACCATGAAAAAAAAATTTCACTGTAGTGTTATCAAGCTATATTTATTTAAAACCCTGCTTTAATTATAAGATCTGTGCTTTCTAATTAGCCCAGCCAAAGATAGGTAGGCTAGGTCAAAACATTGGTTATGGTGATAAAGCCCAACTTTTTCAAAGCTACACATACATATGTAGCTTTTTTAATATATATATATTTAAAGTGAAACATGGTTTAAAATTAATCTTCAATTTCTTCATCTCAAAATAAGGTTTCTTGCCGTATATTTGTTATATAAAGTAATATATGAGCTGCCTGCTAGGTGAAACATAGAACATATATATAGAAAGCCATTTGTGAGAAATTAATTATAAAAATTTAAAATAGAAATAAAATTTGAGATACACACTATTTAGCAATAGAGGCACATCCCTCTTAGTCATTCTATCTGACGTGGATGGAAACTATGATCAGTGTTTCCCGTAATCTTGGTGAAAAGTAGAGAATGAATGAATAAAAATGTGGAGTCAGAAAAGGATTCTGCAAGAGAACTATGCCATTTGTGGATGGAAGGATAGCTTCCAAATCATGAGGGCTCGTTTGGTTTGTTTTTGTTTTTTTTTTAATTGAAGAGGTAAAATCACAAGTATTTATATACACTGATTATATACTATAGACTGCCATATATTTGTCATTTGCTTTATTTTCAATTTTCCTGGTGGTGGTAATGTCTTTCAAGTTAAAAGCTATTTGTTAAAAATTGTCTCAGTAATTGACAAGGGCAGAAATTTGATGTTTGGATTGAATCCATCTTCAGATAAGTGAAATGACCTGTTTTAGCCTCTTCTCCCACTGGTGATTTAAGCTCAGTGTAGCTGCTATTAAAAGGATCATAAAAGCAAAACCATGGCTCTTAGAGATTGAAAGTGTTTTCAGGTGTTTTTTTTTTTGTTTGTGTATTTGTTTTTTTCAGCTTTCTCCTTTCAGCTAGGTGAAGAAAGAATTTTCCTAGTTTTTCAGTGAAGCATTAGAAAATTGTATGGCTTATATTCACATAGTCATAACTAAGAAATGTTAAAAAACTATGATAAATTTAGGTCACAGCTGTAGGTTGAGAGTCACTGTATTATACTGTATTTAATCAATTTTAAAACACATTTTTCACATTTTAACATTTCTGAAATAGAGATGTGACGTACAATCAGCTATGTCTTTGAGTTGACGTGAGGAAGTTGGTGTGCTAGTTCTACCACCCTAGCCTGACCTAAGTCCATAGGATACTGAGGATTAATAATTAAGAACAGGAGAGAAGCATTACTCCATCTGTCCTTTACAATGCTGAGGATGAAGCCAGCCTCTGATCTTTCTACTTACACTGTCTAATGAAGACAGTGCTGTTTCTTTGTATTATCTTGGGATAATTTAACATTTTGCAGAAATGAGAATGTAGCATAACTTTTATCCATGTAAATATATTCATTTTTTTTATTCAGAATGAACATCTTACTATATGACAAAAATTGTGCTCAGCTAATAAGTTCTCTGACATCTATGGCCTGTTCATTTTATCCCAGCACATAACTGCCTATCAAACAGTAAGCCCTTAATGAAATTCTTCATTAGATTAATGACTGTTAGCCAATATTAACTTCTTACTCATGGCTTATATCCTACTATTGGGAGCTGCCTGAATTCAGCTATATCACAAGCACCCACTTGATAACTGGAACTCAGTACTAATACTTTAAGTTCTGTTATAATGATTACATTAGATATGTTATTTCAGTGTATTTACATTTCAGTATAGCATGAGACAAAAGATTAGTTGATACTTTTAGTGGTAAGCAATCCTACCTTATTAATAAGAGAAACACAGACATGGTTCAAGTTCTTAAAAAGCTATATATGTACAATATTTAGAAAATGTTCAAAATTATATAGTCTGATTAGACTTCTGAAGACATTTCAATCTTAAGAATAGATAGTTTTCTGTCCTTTGACATAAATAAGGCAAAGAGAAGGTAAACGGGAATGATGAGTCTCAGTGATATCACTTACTTTGTTAAATTACCTCAAAAAAACCCCAACGATCTATTTTTCATTCCACAAGCAAGAAAAGGTTTAAAGGATTGTTTGCAAAAGTGAATACAGGCTACAAAATTCTAACAAAACTTAGGTTAATTTTGACTGGACATTGTATTCTGTTGATCAACCAATGATCTAAACAATGAATTTGAGAATTGAAAAATTGGGCATTCTTTATAAATTTCTTCAGAAAAGTTTTAGAAAAACATTTCAATTGATATTTATTGCCAAATATAATAAACTTTTCTAATCATATATTCAGTAGTTTCATTTGTTTTTTACAGTGCACACTGGTTTTTGGCTGTTGTTTGTTTCCCTGGTTTGGAAAAACCAAAGTATGAACCTAATCCTCATTACCATGAAAATACAGCCATGCAAAAATGTTCAACTGTAGAGGACAGTTGTATTTCTTCTCCTTCAGCCAGTGAAATGGACAGTTGTTCACAAAACTCTTCTGCCAAGCCTGTAATTAAGAAGATGCTAAACAAAAAGCATTGCGTAGCTGTAATTGATTCAAGTGCTGAACAGGAAGAAAGTGACCCTCGTTATCGGAAAAACATATGCAGTGTGAAATGTAGTCTGAAAAAAATAAATCATACTGCAAGTGAAAATGAAGAATCAAATAAAGGAGAATCTGCATGCCAGAAAGTTGTTGATAGGACTAAAAGTGAGAATGGCCTACAGAATGAATATTTAAGTTCTATGCACCATACAGGTATGTTTCTAAATGTTTTGAAAGAATCAAGGAATTCAGAGTAAATTGGATTTTTATAAACAAGATTAAGATTTTAGGCTACACTTTTTTTAAAAGTCAGATTTATTGAAGTATATTTTACTTACACTTTTGATCATTTTATAAGTATAGTTCAGTGAGCTTTGATAAATATATATATATGTATATAGTCATGTAATCACTACAACAGTCGAGATTTAGAACCTTTCCATCACTCCAAAAAGAAATTCCTTTGCACAGTCCCTCACCTCTACAGAGAGTGCAGTTTTAAAATTGTAGTAGTACAAGGTCTTCATTTTCCATTGATAGGATCTTGGATTTAATTTTATTTCATAGGAAATATACTGTGATATTCAGGATAAACAATAGTTGCACAGTCTTAGCTCTGAAAGGTGAATTAGTTCAGTCTTCTCAATTAACAGATAGACAAATGGAGATCAAGTGGTCAGAGGCAGAAATTAAAGCTTTCTCCTCCAAAGTAGTTGTTGACATTGAAATTAAAGGTTAGTTCCTTATTCCTCACTCTTCTTCATTGTTTTTAGTTTCTTTTTTAAAATCTTTATTGTTGAGAGTATTACAGATGTGTGTCCCCCAACCCCCCTGTCCTGCACCACCCAGTTCATGCCCTACCCCAGGCCTTCACTACCCTATTGTCTGTGTCCATGGGTAATACATATATGCATATAAGTTCTTTGGTTAACCTCTTCCTGTGCCCCCCCCCCCCCTTCTGATGAATAAATTTTTTTTTTCTTGAATCACTTCTATATTTCTAGCACTTGTTACGGAAATCTGAGGTTTCTGTTCAAATACTTAAATTTCATGTGAAGTCAATTGTATAATTTCCTCTCCAACCCCAAAGTAAAATAGTCTACTCTATAAAACCCATAACATGCTATAGTATGCACCTTATGTACCTTGCAAACTTACTAAACCCTGACTAGATATATTTTCTTTGGATATAAAAAGTCAGTATAAGACAGAAAAAAACGTGTGGATTCAGAAAAAACTTGTCAAAAACTGTGAATACTGAACATACTTTTGGTACTTCTCTACCAGCTTATTTGAATAAGTCAGAAAGCTGTTGCTGAGCTCTTACAAAAATGTTTTTATTTTTTATTTAGTTTGATATACTAATCTGCATAAAGCTAATAGCACTAGAATGTTGATCTTTGTGCCCTTTGGGAGATAATAGGTAGAAAGGGGAATGGTATGTGAATTATATCTTCATTGAACTATTTTTTTAAGTTCCCCTTTGATCAGTAATTTTATCCAATTTAATGTGAATTCAAATTAAAAATTAATTGAAGTGCATGATTTAAAAACAAGCAATGGGACAAAAACCCAGGGCTTCATAAGCACTAAGTCCAGAAATTCTGTGTGACCTTCTACTACAAATTAATGTTCCAGTCCTTAGTTAAAGTTGTAATAATAGCCATTTAAAGTTGATTAAATATTCTCACAAAAGCTAGTGGAGACCACAATAAGAAATAATCTGTTTTATGTAGTTTGCCTTTTTAATATTTGTTTATACTAGGTATTCTCTTTAATTACAGTTAAAGCATTTGATTTTTTTGTTTTGTTTTTAGTATGTATATAATATCTTCCTTAAAGGAAATTAATGTACTTTATTGTGTATGATACACTGATATTTTTATTCTCATTAATGCTTGAATTCCAATAATGATAATGTCCCACAATTTAAAAAATGGTGTTCTACAGTGGGTCTGTGCATTTTTAAGAATGAGGTTCCATAGCTTTCATCAGATGTTTCTAAGGGATTATTCGCCAAGTAGTACATTAAATAAGAGTATTCTCTAGAGGTAACTTGAGTACGTCAGAGAGGATGGTTATCCAGTCTATCCTATATAAAATGATGACTTTACTAAAAATTAGGATACAAAAAGGTTGTAAAAATTTTGTACCATGATTAATATCTCAGGAATTGATTTCTGTTTGGGCTGGGACTATAGTTGGCAGGACTTAATGAAGCATTTTAGACAGTTTTAATATAATTTTAGCCATTAAATACATACAGTCATAAGTGTTGTCTATTGATGTCAGCTAACATGTTGTACTAGACAAGTGGAATTGTATCTTATCATAGGAATTAGTTTTTATGTTTGTTTTTTAAGGTCAACTGCAGGAAAATAATGTGTGGTATCATTACTTTCATTTGCTGTTTTTTCAGTTAGGCACCACATGAAATAGTTGTATTGTATGGAACATGAAAAATGTGTATGTTTAATCTCTAGACTCAAATTCCACATCTTCAAATGATCTCATTATGAGAAGCTCTCAGGAACTGAGACTGATTGAGAGAACAGCTGATGGAGTTATCACCTCTCAATTTATATCAGGGCATTTATTTAATGAATGAAATGATTGAAGAAATTGACTACACTATTTAAATTGTTGTTCTTCATTTTTTGAAATGTGCATACAGTTAATTTGTATAAACTTCATGTTTATATGACAGTTTTGTAGTTAGAAATAATTCGCTGCTAGAATAACTTGACTATAATTGACTACGTCTGAATTGCTTGAGGATTTGAACAAATTTTATTCAAATATAGTTGTTTCGCTTCAAACATAAAATATAGGGTTTTGAAAAAGATAAATTTAAAAAGTTATTCTTTGCATAACTAAAGGATTTACCGTAGTGTTTTATTAGTTATTTTAAGGAGTATGTTGTTTTATAACAACATCTAGATTTTTATATGTCTTTTTAGGAGCACATTTTATTTCTCTGTTTTCTCATTCCATCTTTCTTATATTGCTATTCTTAATTCCCTTTTAAATGTGCCAAAATAAATTTTCTCCTATCTTAAAATTAATGCTTTTTAAAACGTGGAAATAGTGTGCTCTACAATAAATGATATTGGTATATTTAGTACGAAAGTGCCGGACTCAGTTTTCATGTAAATCATATGTTCCTTTAAAACATTTTGTGTGATTAGCTTCTTTCACCAAAATCATTGATTTTAAGATGATTCTTGAAATGGACCTTCAAAAGTGTTCATTTCAAATTTTTTTATGAGTCATTTATTTTGTACTACCAGCATTTACATTAGGCTTGAGTTGTTTTACTTTATTGAAAAGTCTGTGAATATAACCAGACATGAAGGAAAAATATACAGAGTTGGGGAACTTGTCCATAATTGTATCCTAACATGAAGATTATTTTAATTTTTGTAATTTTCTTTTTATGATTTGTCCAAAAGAAATCCTATTTTACTTAATTATAATCATGTTTACTTTTTTGCCCTGTATTGTACAATTTTTCATAATTTTAATTTTTAAAATGTACAGTATTACATTTTATGTTCTACAGTTTGCTCTTGTTATACATTTAGGTCATTTTCTGACTATTGTAGCTTCTGTTATTAGTTAACCATATCTGACATACCTACCACAAAAACATGTATTTATATACATACATATTTGTATTTAAATATACATTTATAATTAATCATATAATTGATACCTGGTTTTTAAGTTTTAATGAATTTTAGTGTCTGAAGAGTAGAAATAACTGTAATTGACATGTCAATCCAGGGTTTTATTAAAGTAATTTATTTTATATTTGGATATTACATGCTAAAGCAGATCTTGTATCCTTATTTACTATATCCTTTATTGGATTACCTGCCTAATATCATATAGCCTAAATCCTGTAAGTTATGTGCAGTAAATTATGACCTTTTTCATTACATAATGTTTGTTATTAATACAGATGGCTTAAGCAAAATCAGGCTAAACTATAGTGATGAGTCAGCTGAAGCTAGTAAAATGCTTGAAGATGAACTCATCGACTTCTCAGAAGATCAGGACAACCAGGTGAACTTACTCGGCAAATACTGATGTTTTATTAAATGTTTTTCTTTGGAGTCCTATAGGTAGTTCTTTTAACCAGTAAATCATGCATCTGGACTTGGGTTTCATCTCAAAACACAAATTAAGTTTTCAGTTCAGTAGTTGCTAGGATAAATATATTAGTGCTGTTTTGTTTTAGTTTTGAGTTGTTTTTTTCCTGCCATTGTGGATGAAACTAATAATAATGCCCTCCACCCCGGACATTTTAATATTAAATAAATTATTTCACACCAACACAGCCACCACCCATACCAGCCCTTTTTCTTCCTCTTAAATAATTTATGGGCCATACTTAACCTTTGGTCTAACTTGACATTCAAAAGGCAAAAATATTTTAAATATATTTTCCTTTATTTATTTATTTTTTAATCCTCACCTGAGGATATTTTTCCATTTATCTTTTAGATAGGTAGGAGGGATGGGAAGAGAGAAACAGAGAAACATTGAAGTGAGAGAGACACATCAACTGGTTACCTCCCGCTTGACCCCTACAAGGGCTGGGGACGAACCACAATTGAGGTATGTGCCCTTGGCTGGAATCGAACCTGGGTCTCATTGGTCCATGGGCTGACGCTCTAACCACTGAGACAAACGGGCCAGGGCTATGTATTTTTCTTTATTGATTTTAGAAAGAGGAAGGGAGAGGGAGAGAAGGATAGAAACATTGATGAGAGAGAACATCTATCAGCCGCCTCCTGCATGCTCCCAACTGGGGATTTGGCCCACAACCTGGGCATGTGCCCCAGTTGGGAATTGAACCAGCAACTTTCTGCTGCATGGGTTGATGCTTAACCACTGAGCCACGCTGGCTGGGTGTAAAGTTTTGATTACATTAAAACTTTATTATATTACTTCTTCTACATTTCCAGTGGTTTTTTTTCCTCTAATTTAATATATATGGCAGGAGCAGATCATGTTATTTAAAACTAACAGGTGAACTCTAATATTTACTTAACATCTCATTGCTCTAATAAAATTTACTAACACCAACAATAAAGTATATTATTAAAAATATAACTTCTGTTAAAAAGGAATTTATATGAGAAAACAGTTTAGAAGAATCCTACAGCATACAATTTCTTTAATTATCTAACCTTTCTTTAGTTGTTAGGACAAACTGTATTTAGTAGTGAAGATAACTGTAGTGCACCATTTTTCCTTCTTGCTTAATCCTCTTGTGAACAAAAGCTTTTTTTTTTTTTATCTTCACCTGAAGATATTTTTCCTTTTTTTTTTTTTTTTTGATAGAATGGAAAGGAGGAAAGGGGAGAGAGACGCATCAACTCTTTGCCTCCCATACATCCCCAACCGGGGCTGGGAATCAAACCCACGACCCTTCTGTCCATGGGCCAACACTCTAACCATTGAACAAAACAGGCCAGGGCAAAAAAACCATTTTCTATGATATTTGAAAGTTTTGTGACTATAAAATACAGCTTTTCTTTCCAATATATGCGGATTACATATAAGGTTTAATGAGCACTCATGCTTCTTTGGTCATTGTAGTTATGTCATTCATAAGCTTGCTAGAAGCTTTGTCATAGAACAAAAAAAGCCTTGTTTGTTTTATATTCAAGATAATTTATAGAATAAGACACAATGTCTTTACGCTATCTTCCTTCAAGTGAAGTAGACATATGGTTTTGTTAAGGAAAACCGTGTTTGCAAAAACCCTTGAAATATATCTGATTTAAATAAAAATATGTAAAAGAATAATAAATAAAAGTTATTCATGTCCTATTATGAAACATTTGTCTTAGCCAATGAACTAAATTTTTGTAGAATACCTAAAATCAGAGCAGTCGTATCTGACTGGAGAAGAATCAGTCATAATATATGTAAAAATTTACTCTAGATTGAGTAAATGATGTAACAATTTTTCAGAGACCTGATTTCTAGTTTCTTTTAATTAAAATGTCAGTGTTATGGCATTAGATAATTGGAATCAAGTGACATACCAAATTTCTAGTGTTTGATCACTTGACTAGAAATATTTTTTACGTACTTGTTAAAATCAAGATTTTTTTTTTTGTCCTCATCTGAGGACATTTTTGCATTCATCTTCAGATAGAGTGGGAGGGAGAAAGGGAGGAAGAGAGAGAGAAAAACATTGATGCACAAGAGACACATCAACTGGCTGCCACCCACATGACCCCAGCCAGGGTTGGGGACAAATTGCAACCGAGGTATGTGCCCTTAGCGGGAACCGAAGCCAGGTCTCTCTGGTCTGCGGGCCGATGCTCTAACTGCTGAGCCAAACCGGCCAGGGCTAAAATAAAGATTTTTATCCTCACCTGACTGGTGTGGCTCAGTGGTTGAGCATTGACCCATGCACCAAGAGGTCACTGGTTTGATTCTCAGTTCGGGCACATGCCCAGGTTATGGGCCTGATCCCCAGTGGGGGACATACAGGAGGTGGCCAGTCGATGTTCTCTCTCATCAATGTTTTTATCTCTCTCTCTCCCTCTCCTTTCTTCTTTCTCTAAAATGAATAAAGAAAAAAAAATTAAGATTTTTGTCCTCACAGTTCTATTTTGTTAGGTTATTAGTTATTTAGATTGTATATTTTCAGTACTAACAGTAAGCTCTCTTTTATAGGATGATAGTAGTGATGATGGATTCCTTGCTGATGACAATTGCAATTCAGAAATAGGACAGTGGCATCTAAAGCCTACTATCTGTAAACAGTAAGCATTAACTATATAACTTGCAAACAACATGATACTTTTTATGTACCTACATAGAATAAAACATGGTGAGACAGTTTTTATTTAAACAATTACTTAAGGAAAAGTTGCAATGTCTGTCAAGTTCAGTGAGGAAAACTGAGTCATGCCCAATGTCCAAGGATCAAATGGGGAGAAAGAATTATTTCAATCCTTTGTTTGCCCATTTTCTATGTGTGCACATGCGTGCACACACAGACATTTCCACTCCAAATGAGAGTGGGTATGTTTTGGTTTTTAGAACTAACATATTCCGAGATCTCTTGGGCTCCAAACTTTTTAGGTGATGAAGTATTGCCTATTCGTAGACTTCATTTTTTAAAACTTTTTTTGTAGAAAATGTTGGCTGAAATTTCATTAACAGCTTTTAAAAAGCAAACTTCATTTATACAGAAAAATATAGAGACCTAGAGCAGTTAAGAGATCTGCTCTAAATCCCATAAAATTTTAGCCAGAAAGAACCAGACCTTTCAACATCCTAGGACATTTTGCACTGCATTAGACTTCCTCACTTTTACTTGGGTTTATAACAAATTTCAAGGTCCAGTCTTATTTATAGTAAGTGTTCAAAGTGGAATCTTGCAGAAATCACTGGATTCTAAACTAATTCTTGTAAGTGATGGTGACCTGTTTTGTTATCATCTCTAATAGGTTTTAGTTAAAATGGGATTATTTTCTTATACTTTTCCATGGTCCTGTTTTTGGCGATTTGGAATATAGGGCATTCAAGCTTTCAGTATGGTTTTGACTTACTACTAAATTTTGAACTATTTTTAGAAACGGCAGCTATGGAATTTTAGTGAAATATATTGATAACTAAAATATGGTTAAATTAATATTCTGATACATACTCATGGATATGTTTAAGTATTATTAGGGTGTGTATGTCTATAAGGTTTATTTCCCACCCACCCCCAACCCCCAAGTTTTACTAAGGCATGCAAAGGCAGTATTGAAGGTTTTAAATTTTATTTTATTGTTAATGCACTTTTAACATTATAAAGTGTTAACATTTGGTCATTTCTATCCTGCAGGCCTTGTATCCTACTGATGGACTCACTCAGAGGCCCTTCTCGATCAAATGTTGTAAAAATTTTAAGAGAGTAAGTTCAAAACTGTACATTGTACTTTATATTATGATGAAAATAAAGGACTATATATATTTTTATATGTGTATTCTTACTATATATATTCATTCTTGCAGGTATTTAGAGGTGGAATGGGAAGTTAAAAAAGGAAGCAAAAGAAGTTTTTCCAAAGATGTTATGAAAGGCTCTAATCCAAAAGTACCCCAACAAAATAACTTCAGTGATTGTGGTGTATACGTATTACAGTATGTAGAGAGCTTTTTTGAGGTGGGTTTCAATTTATTGGAAATGAGATAATAATAAAATACCGTTTTTGACCTTATGTTAGTGTAAAAAACATTAAGTAAATATTTTGAAGAGTTTAAAAAACTATCATTTCAAAAATTATTCCAGAGAGCAATAAACTTCCAAATTGGAGAATTTTTAAGGCATTAAAAGGTTGCATAGTTGATCAGATCCAAGGTTTGTTACCTCATTCCTCATCACTGATCAACTCCCCTCTTCATTGGCTCTTTCCACCTTAAGAAGTCTCTCCCATGATTCAGACTTTGTCTTCATTCTCTTTTCTCTTTACAGATATAGTTCTGGAGACATATTTATATTTCACTGTCTTCATGTTCACAAATTCTGCTTCTCAGATCTCTGTAATCTGGCTTTATCCTTCATCATTCATTGAAATTGTTCCTGACCTCTCAGCACCATTTGACACTGACCATTCCTTCCTCATAACACTTTCTTCCTTTGACTTGAGAGGTACAATACCACACATAACTTCTTTTGGATATTCTTTACATTATCTTGACTCCTTCCTTTTCCTTATTCACCATCCAGTGTACCACTAAGTCCTGTGAATTTTATTATTTCATGTCAGATATGTTCAGTTCTTTATTCCTGGTGCCACTTTTGAAGTTCAGTACTAGCATCACTATTCTAAACTACTGCTTCCTACCTTCTGTTTTTCACAGTTTTCCAAAAATCCAAATCTAATGTTACATTAAATCTTATAGTGGCTTCTTGCTGCTCTTGGATTAAAGAAAAATTCATGTGGCTTGCATGATCCGACTCCTGTCCAAGCTGCTAGCCTCAATTCCTAGCATTCTCACTCTAGCATTCTATATACCAGCCACCTGAATGTCATTCAGTTTCTCATATTGTGTTATGTTCTTTCTGGTCTCTAGACCTTGATACATACTTCTTTACCTGGAATATTCTTTCCTGTTGCTTATATCATTTCTTATTTGGCTAACTCCTACTTAACTTCAGGTCTTAGCTAAAACATTACTTCTTTTGGGGATTGTGTTAAGCCCAAGATAATGTATTTTCATAGGACTCGCTGCTTCTCCTGTCATATTTGTCATGTTCATTGTTTAAATTGTTATCTGTCTGTTTAGACTGGAGTCAACAAACCTTTTTATAAAGGGCCCAGATACTAAGTAGTTTAGACTTTGCAGCTATACGGTGTGTCTGTTCCTACTCAGTTCTCCTGTTGTGGCAAGAAAACATATACAGACAAGATGTAAACGAATTAGTGTGGCTGCATTCCAGCAAGGCAGTAGGCAGAATTTTACCCATCAGCCACAGTTTGCTGAGTTCTGATCTAAACTTTAAAGATCTATATGCAGAAACTTTCTCCTGTGCCTAGCAAAATACCTGACTTGTGATAGATAATGAGTAAACATACCAAATGAGTTACTATTTTGTAATTTTTAACTTTGGAATGCTTTTATGTTTTTATGTAAACTATTATTTCTTACAATTTACTAATGTGCATTTGACTTTTTTTTTCCAGAATCCAATTCTCAATTTTGAACTACCTATGAATTTGGCAAACTGGTTTCCTCCCCCAAGAATGAGAACAAAAAGAGAAGAAATTCGAAACATAATTCTAAAGCTGCAGGAAGATCAGAGCAAAGAGAAAAAGAAGCATAAGGACACTTACTCAACAGAAACATCTTTAGGTGAAGGAACAGAACAGTGTGTTGACAGTATCTCAGATTGACCATTTCTGATTCTTGTCAGTGTTGTCCTGAGAAACTGAGTGACTTTCACCTTTGGGTACAGACAGTAAAGAACGGAGGTGCTCACTACTCAGAGTGATTCGAAATGTTAATGCTTGTATAAATGTCATATAATTAATTTCCAATGGAGTATGTATTGTCTGTAAATATGTTAATGAGGCCAATTTTTCCAGCATTTATAATTATTTTTTTCACTTGTTAGGAAGCTTTTGTTATGTATTTTCTGTTAATAGTACTTAAAACTGCAACTTCTAAACACAAAATAAATAAATATTTATAGGAGGAAATGATTAATTTGATATTCTTTAGTGAATTTGTATTAAATTCCTCAGTGGGTGTGATATATTTCATGGGAATATTCAAGTATCTATAATTTTTTGACTTTTTCATTTGTTCTAAAATAACTTGAAATATGAAAATTAGCTGAACTCAAAGACATTTTGAACAAGAAAGACATCTTCATGTGCTTGTATAGCAGGAAAAAAATAACAGCTTTTTAAATTCATATATTCCCCTGTGTCCAGAACTCCAAAATGGATTAAATATTTATAATTTTACATAAATATTTAAGAAGCAGCAGTAATTCAAAGAATAATAACCTTGAATTATACTACTAAATAATAACTATACTTTATCATATATTATTGTCAACTACATTTCTGGGAGACGTCTAAGACTCAGGTTAAAACTATTTTGGTAAGTGCAACTCGAATTTCAAATATCCCATGTTACCTTTCTATATTATAACTTAAAAATATTCTACAATCTATGTGATATAGTTAATTGATAAACATTTTTAATCTGTGAACACAGCAATTTAAATAGGAATTAACTATTTTTTTATAATGGCTTTTGCTATTTTTTCATTGCTCATTTTGTTCTTGTTATTTTGATAAAGTATCAAACTTTGCACATGAGTTTTTTAGTGTAAATTATTTTTACATGTGAAAGTACTATCTTTTAATCAATTGCTTAATGCAGGAAAAAAAAAATCTCCTACCTTTGAATTCCCCTTTAAAATTTTTAAAATGTAATGGTTTTGATGACAGATTTACAACTCATATAGGAATCTTGCATATATCTGCTAAAACTATTGTTTTCAAATGAAATGTTATACATTTCTTTTGCATTAACTCTGAGACTTGAAATATATATATTTTAAAAGTCATTTTTTTGTTAAATAATGAAATTTAAAATACGCATACAACAACAAAAAAAGATGAGAATAAAAGGAAGGCCAATTTCATCATCAGCATTTATTTTATTTTTAGTCTGGCCATTTCTGGCATTGTAATTAACATTTTAGGGTATTTTCTTGAATTTAGTAAAGTCCGTGGGTGTGTTTGGGGTAGATGGAGGTGTTGTTAACAACAACCAAAAAAATGTATTGAGACACACTTATTAAGGGAAACCTTAAAATGTAAGCTTAGGGAAGGTTATTATTAGTATTATCAATTATAGTTTTGTTACTTTGAACTATCTTAACATTTTTTATTTCTGATTACATTATTTGTTGTGTTTTTTTTTTTAAGGAATATCCTAGAGCTATTAGTCCAGCTATGAAAAAATAAGAGTTTAATTTTGTTATTTACTGAATATGGACAAAAAAATGGAAACTGTTTTTTTAAATGCCTGATAGCAGTAAACAAAATCGATATATTTTATTTTTTAATGTACTGTATTTTGTCGGAATTTGAAGGTACTGAAAAAACTATTCTAAAATGCTTATTTGTTTTTGTTTTAATTTCTAATGGTTACATTTTGCATTCTTAATTCTTGATAAGAGAAAAATATAACTTGTCCTTTGGGCCATCTCAAGTCACATTTCGACAAAAAATATAGATTGCTCTCTGTCAGTTTTCTAGAGGTAGAATATTCAGATATTTGCTATTTCTCCCACTCCATGTAAAATTCTATTTTTAAAAGTTATTCTAGTGATTTTGTTTTATATATATACTGAAATCTTTGGAGACTGCGAGGTTGAGCTCCAAACTAGACTAGAGAGTCGTTGGTGTATATGCATATTTACTTGATGATTGTGTACTGTGGTACTTCTTTATGTAGTTTAAAGTGGCTATCAACCTTTTAAAATATGTCATTAGTACTTGGAAGTTGTGAAACAGAATTTTTAAAGTTTGGAAGATTGTTACTAGACACTGAAACTGCATGACGAGTATCTGGTGTCTTAACTAATTAGATAGATCTGTTGTATTTGTTTTCTTGTTGGATAGAATAACAGTTAATCATTTTTAGAAGAGTTTCAGATTACTTGACATAAAATTTGTATGTGTCTTAGCTCGTGGTAGTTTAGGAGCAAAGTTGGCATTTAACTAGTTCTTTTCCTTTGGTGTTGCTAAGACAGCTGAAAACTTAATGGTATTATTTCAAGTTCACATAAATCTAAATCAGTTAAGCAGAGTAACCTGTGCTTAAACTGTTAGTCAATTATATGTAGGAGGTTTTTTTGAAAGGGTAAAATAATTATCTAAATTGTATATCTTGTTTTAAGTCACCAAAATGAATTCAGTATTCTTTTCTTTAAAAGACTATGATCTCTGAAGATTGTAAAATATGATATTAAAAACAAACAACAGCTTTAATTTCCCAGACATCACAAATTGTACTTAAAGTTGCAGACAATTCACTGAATAGGAATAATAAAGAATATATATATATATATGTATATTTTTTTAATCCTCACCGGAGGACATGCTTAGAGAGAGAAAGGGAGAGAGACAGAGTCAGAGGGAAACATCGATGGTTGCCTTGCTTTCTGCACGCTCCCGGACTGGGGATCAAACCCACAAGCCAGGTATGTGCCCTTACCAGGAATTGAACTGCTAACCTTTCAGTGCATGGGACAGCATACAACCAACTGAGCCACTTCAGCTGGGCAAGAATATATTTCAATATATAAATATATATGATCAAGAGTTGGTGGATTAAATCTACTGGAATATGATAGAAAGAATAAATTAGAAGAAACAGACAGAACCCTTAAAAGATGAGGTAGTGTAGTGCTGTATATTTAGAAGAGATAGAGATAACAAGGTTGCTCTAGAGGTTACTTTGAGGACAAAAAGAGAGAAGGGGGAGATTATTCTGGAGGTATACTACAGACTGTGTAGCCAAGTGAATGTAAATGTATAGTTTACCAGTAAGACAATACCGGGATGGTATTGGGAAATGTAATCTACTAAAGAATGTTCTGAAATAACTCCGTAGGACTTTTTGGTACTTTTGTTGTTTTTTCTACTCTTAGGAAGAAGAAAAAAGGTTATGAAAACTGCTCTTCTAAACTTAAATTTAACCACAGAGGAAGATTTGGTTGATCAAGTTGAAGAAAAGTATACGTTGGAGGAAAGTAGCCCTACCATCTTAATTCTGACAAGCCAGTTCAAGAAATAATGGTAGGGTACGTTAAACTACTATTAAGGAAATCAGAGTGTAGTGTACTCAGGAAAATACCATAGACCCATGGCCTGAAACAGAAAGAAAAAATTTAAAAGTTTACAGGTCTTGACTATATCACAAATAACAGTTAAATTAGCAAATGATTACAGTGAAGATCTTAATCCAAAGCAAGAATTTTTATCTAGAAATATGCATCAAGATCACCGTGGGAGTTCTTCAAAATACACATACCTCAGGTCTTAACCCCAGTGGTGCCATGTATTTTCAAATAATTCCTCAAGTAACTCTGGTATGCATCTTCTGTGTCAAGCCACTGATTTGAAAGGATCATTATATGTCCCTGATAGCTTTTATTTATTTTTTAAATACGTTTTTATTGATTTTTTTAGAGAGAGAGGAAGGGAGAGATAGATAGAAACAATAATGCGACAGAGAAACATCAATTGGCTGCCTTCTGCATGCCCCCCACTATGGAGTGAGCCCACACCCAGGCATGTGCCCTGATTGGAATTGAACTCAGACCTCTCAACCTGTGGGACGACACTAAATCCAATGAGCCACACCAGCTGGTCCCAGAGGTAAAAAGCTTGCCTGCGTTTTCTTCTTTCAAATGCTGTGGATACCACTTTACTCCCATCCCTCAAATTCTCATTAAGAACTTGATAGAAGAGATAGATTATTAAGTTGCTGTTACTAAGCCTTGAAAAATTATAAAGAAAATTATTAAGGTACTCAAAGGTTAGAAACTGGCAGATAAATCTTGTTTTCTAAAAGAATAAGGATCCTGCAAATTACAAATTCTAAAGTGAATTATTAAATGGATGATGTGTGAACTCTTAATGGTCACTAGGAGTTATGGAACCACTACAATCAAGGTTGTTTTATATATATATTTTTTTCTATTAGTTTTCTATTGCTGCCAGAACAAAGTACCATAAATTCAACAGTTTAAACAACACAAAGGTAGTATTTTACAGCTCTGTAGGTCAGAAGTCCAGGGCTTGACTGGTTTCTCTGCTTTAAGCTCACAATGTGTTGGTGCAGCTGGGCTCTGGGGGAGAATCTGCTTGCAGGCTGATTCAGGTTGTTGGCAGAGTTGATGTCCATGAGGTTATTGGGGGGCTTTATATAATATATATGTATTTTTTAAAATATGTTTTTATTGATTTTTTTTGTATTTAGAGAGAAAGGAAGGGAGAGAGAAACATCGATTGGCTGCTTCCTGCACACCCCCATTGGGGATCGGGCCTGCAAACCAGGCATGTGCTCTGACCCAGAATTGAACTGGGACTTCTCAGGCCATGGGACGATGCTCAATCCACTGAGCCACACCAGCTGGGCTGGTGGCTTTTATATTTTTAATAGAATTCTGTATTAATCAATCTAGAATGCATCCAGACTAGCAATTCTCAAAGTGTGTTAGATAACTGGTTTTGAGAGATATTTATAAATTCTGTGGTCAAATAAGTTTGTAAAAGATTTAAACCAAATTAAGCATTTTCCTTGGAACTTTTAATATGCTAAGTACAAATGATTTAACAAGAGGAAAATATAGAGCACACCATGATAGATACAGAATTTGGCCATATCTTCTTTTTCTTCCGGACTGGTTCTCTAACCTGCCTTATAAATGCTCCACATCAGAAGACAGAACTAACTCTTTGGGGTGTGTTTATGAACCAAACTTTAAGAAAGGATGCTTTTGAAACAGATCTGAGGTTGCTTTATTTACATTTTATGTCACTAATAGGCATATGATTTGGAAACCTGAAAATACATGACTAGTGTCCTGGGAAAATGAAGTTTTATAGAAGCATTTTTCTATAGTCACAAATGAAAAAATTACACATTTAATTCTTGTATAT